GACGGACGACGAAAGGCATGACTCATGAGGTGGCCGGATGGCTGTAAAGACGGCCAGATGAAGAGGAAGACATACAGATGCCCTTATGACCTACCCGTCCAGCCCGCAATGCGTCAGCGGATGTTGGACTACGTTTTGGTCGGCGGAAATGTGGGTGTCAGATGGGATGGGATGGCAGAGCGCCAAGTGAGTAGACGATGTTCTGGCTTGAGACATCACGGGATAATCAAGACAGCGCGGTTAGGACAGCACTCTAATAGCAGGAATGCGGATGCTTAAAATGCAAAAGCAACAACAGACATGGGTGGCGTGCACATATCAATGTTATCGACTAAGCAACGTTGCATAGGTAAATAGGTATCCCCGGCACGCGCATCCATAAGCAGCCAACTGTCCAGGCCTTAAGTGAAAGTTGCGATCAACTTCGGAAGGGTGTTTTAGGTCTGATCTAATGTCAGAACGACGTCTTGCATCTCAGTGCTAGGAAGACCTATTACTCATGCTGGTTTCAGTTTAGCCGAACATCTCATGGGGGAATGATGTAACATCTGGACAAGTTTCAGCTGTTCAGCCTTGTCAGGATGCATGTGGTTTTAGTATCGCTGTGTCGAACAAAGCAACGTTTAAATTCCTGCTCAATACGGTGAGCTCCATGACTGTAAAGGAAACACACTTCCAGTTGCTTTGACTTATACGTATTTGTATGTTCAGCCATTGTTATTTATGTAAAGCTAGGCCTTCAAAGGACCCCACATTGAATTTCTCGGCCATACAGCAGCTGTGCAAATGTTGGTGACACATTCGAATTGCTATTTATTTTCATTTCTACTGCAAAGTTGTCCTTCTGACGACATTTGCATAATTCGCCACCGAGGTATGATAAGCCGAGAGAAGTCTTCCTCGCGCACAAAAGCGCTGCATTAACCCCCTCTCTTGAAAAGCGGATGCGCCTTTGGTCTAAGGCTCTGCAGTAGAGCAAAGCGAGCCGACGGCATGAGAATAGATTGCCTCTGACATTTCAGCTGACCCGGAATGTCTACACCTCAGCTCGCTGCTCTCTGATTGCTTCAGACGTCTGTGTTCTTCCGTTTTGGTTGGCCGATTTTCGTTTGGCATGGCATCAGATCTCTCTGCGGCCCCCGCCCCCCGCCCCCACCGCCCATTGTTAGCCCGTCAGCCCGCACCCGAATATGAGGTATATGACGCACTGGCCGCTTGGCAGCGCTCACGTGTTGCTTGTTCGCAAACAATGTTCCCCTCGCCAGCGCTTTGGAGAGCGGCATTTGATGTAGCATCAAAGACGCCGCGGCCCGGCTGGGGTCACGGCATCACCGACGAGCCCGGCCGGGCCAAGCCGGCTGCGCTGGAGGCGGGAGGTCTCTCCGTCCCTCCTCCCCCCCCCCCCCCCCCTCCACCTCCACCCCCACGGCGGCCGGACGGTCAGCTGGCGGCTGCAGGGCTCGAACCGGCGCCCGGTGAAGCGAGAGAGGGAGAGAGAGGGAGAGAGCACTGCAACGACAGCCGGACGGGAGAGTTAAGCTCGCCGCCGGGCTGCGACCACAACGTGCGCGGACCGGCGCGGGAAATCGGACGGACAGAGAGGCGGGCGGCGCCTGAAAGCCGGAGCGGCGCCCTCAGCGCCTGCGCGCGTCTCTTTTCAGCGGCTGCTCGGGCCAGATGTCCCCGGGCCCAGCAGCGCGGCTTAACGCTGTCACTGTAGCATGATTTAATTTGAGTATTTAGTTTAGATTTCATAGTTCATTCTCGGGCGGCCCGGTGCGCCGTTTTAAGCTGCTCCATCTGTGCGGCTCCCGGGGGCGCTCGCGCCCCTCCCCGCCGCCCCTCAGCCAGTGCGCGGCCCCATCGCGACACAAAACATGATCGCGATACAGTGGCGGCCGGCGGCTGGATTATCCAAAGGGTTGTCGTCCGCCGGCCCGCTTTGTGCGCCCAAAAGCATATGACATTTCCGAACAGGGCGCCCTTTCATATGGAAATGCTCCAATTGGGTGGAAAATTGACAGGGCGCGGCCCGCACGGCGCGGCGGGCTCCGCTCGGGAAGAGCTGTCACCGAGCCTCCGGCAGCGAAGACGGCGTCGCGAACCGCCTTCCGCATCGTGAGCGGATGCCGAGATAACTCCTGCTCTTCCGAGGACCTCACTGAACGGAGAGGAGACGGCAGGAGCTCCCGTGCTATGGAAGCGGCGCTTGGCGTCGTCGCCGGCTGCCCCGCAACGAGACGCGATCTCGTGCTAGCGTCTTGGGTGGCGGCGTGCCGTGCCGTGCCGCGCCGTGCCGTGCCGCGCCGTGCCGTGCCGTACCGTGCCGTGTCCGCCGGTGCTCGCCGCAGATGACTGACTCTCGTTCCGCTGAGCCGGCCGACGCCGGCTAACGCCATCCATCGCCGGCGCCGGCCAGCGGGCCGTAAAATATAACTGCCGCCGTCCTGAGCGGCCATTCGAGCGCGTTAGCGGCGACGGCGGCGGCGTGCGCGTCGCGTGCACGCCGCCGGACCGGAGGGGGCGGAGTTGCGGCCGCGTCGCGCGCGCCGCGCCCCCGCCGCCCTGATCAGGCATGCAGGCCGGCCGGCTGCACCAATGGTGAGCAGCGCTGGCGGCGCCACGATGGCCGCGCCGCCGCTGCAGCCTGCAAACGAGTCCATATTTTATCGGCGCAGCGCAGGCCGGCCGCCCCGGCCGTCACCAATCAATGCCTGGCTGACGGCCGCGCGCTGCGCCGTCATATGGGCCTCGGCCGCCGCCGACGGCCGGGGGGCGGTGGCGGCGGGTCGCCGACCGGCGCCGGCCGGGTCACGCCGGCTGGGTCACGCCGGCCGGGTCACGCCGCGGCCGGGCTCCCACGGCGCACACGTGTGCGCGCGCGCGGGTGGGCGGGCCGGCGACGGCGGCGACATGTGAGGCGGCGCGGCGGAGATGGCCGGGCCGATATCGTCACCAGTCCAAGTGCATGTGGCTAGCCGGCTAATGAACGACACGTTCGGCCATCTGCAGTGAAGACGTGTCGTTGATCAGCCAGGAGGACGCGCTGGCGGACGTGTCCGGCGGGCTCATTGGAGGAGGCTTCTGAGGACCGCGCCGGCGCACCCGTGAGGGGGCGCCCTGCCCCGCCGGCCGGGCCGCCCCCACCCGCCCCTGCCCCGCCCGCGGCCTTCTCCGCTGACCCGAGAGGCGCGCAAACGGGCCCCCTCGATCACGCCCCGTCCGGCTCGTCAAGGCGGCGTTCACGGCGCGCGCACACCGCCGGCGGAAGGGGTGCGTCGCGCCGCGCGCCGGCACAATGCGCCGCTCTCGCCGCCGCCGCGCCGGAACGCCCGCCGGGCATCCGTCAGCGGTCTGTGACGTCACGGGCTGACCTGTCGGGGCGTCTGTCGCCGGCGCCACAGGCGTAACAGGCGCTGCTCTCGCCACCCGGGGCGCGCCGCGCGCAAACTCGCCGCCGCGCTAAGAATAGCAAGACAAGCAAACAGCGATCGAAACCGACCGTCAAACCGAAGGTGCAAGCTTATGAGTGTTTAAACATGTTTATGGCCGCCGCTGTTTGTCTAGATTTGCTGTTGCGCGCGCCAAAAACATGGCCGGCATTTGGCGTTCCGGCTGAGGGGAGACAAATGACGGTGGGTGGTGGCGGCGCACCTGAGACAAACGCGGCGCAGAGCTCATCCCTGCTCCGCTTACCGTCCGGCTGCCAGAGCGATTCTTCACCGGCGCGCTCTGCCCGTCCCTCTGTCCTCCTCTCCGTCTCGCTGTCAGTCTGTCTGTACTTCTGCGTCCGTCTGCCTCTCTGTTGCGCTGCAGTGTCCAGTGTCTGTGCCGATCCGTCCAGCCGTCTAACTGGCGGCTTATACAGAGCATCGGCCTATTAGCAGCGCTCGGTGTGGCCAGCACCACCCCGCTGCCAGCACCACCCCGCTGCAAGTACCACCCCGCTGGCAGCACCACCCCGCTGCCAGCACCGCCCCGGTGCCAGCACCATCCTGCTGCAATCCCCACCCCGCTGCCCGTACCACCCTGCTGTCAGCACCATCCCGCTGCCAGCACCACTCCGCTGCTGACACCACCCCGCTGCCAGCACCACCCTGCTGAAATCTCCACGCCACCCGCCCCGCGTCCAGCCGTGCCCCCAGCCCGCGCGCATCGCGTCGGCCTCCTCACCGCTCGGCGTGGCGCGTAAATCGCGCGCGCTTTCCGCGCGGCCTGCGACGCCGCCTCTGAACACGGCCGGCGCCGCTCACGTGCACATATGTATATAGTTATGCGATCGGGGCCGGGCGTTCACACCAGGCTGCGCATCGGCCTTTCAGCGCGCGCAGCCACTCATAAATGCGGGCGCGCCGGCCGAGTCATAATCTCCTCCCAGAAATAATCCCCGTTTTCAGCGCAATTGTGGCGTGTAATGGGCGCCGGTAATGTCGGCACAGTGCGAAGGCGGCGCGGTGGAGGCGGCGCGCGTCTGATCCGGGATCAACGCCGCGCACCGGCGCCGCTGATCCCGGATCATCTGATTCGAGATGAATCCGGATCAGATGGCGGTTGCCCCGCTGGAGGTCGGCTGGCCGATGGACAACGAGCGTGATGTGGCCCACCAGCGCCCGTCATTGGCTGACATGAGCCGACCTGGCCTGAGCCGAGCTCCTTTCTTATGTTCTCACATACCCGTTTGTGAAGTGCCATTGTGTCAGAATGAAGGACCGCACGATGTCCTGTTGCCTCTCTGATGTTGTTTTGGTGCCGTGGTGACCGGTCGTCAGCCTCTGGCCGCCACGGCGTCCTCGTCACCGGCCTGTCGCAGCCTCGTCTTCGCCTGGTCCCCTCCTCCCCGCCCCTCCTCGTCGGGCCGCGCCTCTGACCTCTGACCCCGCTCGCCGGCAGGTTCTGACGCTGAGTGCGAGGCGGACGGGCGCCGCTCGCCGCTGGAGGAGCGCGCGCGCGGCTCGGAGCCGGACGAGCTGGACGGCTCTGTCGCCTCGCCGGCCGGCAGCGCCGCCAGCCGCGAGAGCCCGCGCGCGCGCCTCCTCACCGAGGAGTCCAAACTGGGCGTGCTGCAGGCGAGCCTGGCCAGCTCGCTAAGCTCGCTGGCTTCGCTGACCGGCTCGCCGGCCTCGCTGCCGAGTCTGCTGCAGGCGCTGAAGGCCGGCTCGCCGTCGTTCGAGTCGCTTCAGACGACCGGACTGGCCGTGGCGCAGCTCACCGCCTCGGCCGTGGCCAACAACACACACAACCCGAAGGCGCTCCAGGAGCTGGCCATGCTGCAGTCGACGCTGTTCACGCTGCAGCAGCAGCAGGTGTTCCAGATGAACCTGATCCAGCAGCTGCAGGCGCAGCTGCGCATCACCAAGCAGGAGGAGACGCGTGACGGTGGTGACGAGTGTTCGCCGCGCGCCGAGAGTCCAGCGGCGGCCGACGGCCGCGCCTCGCCCCGGCCCAGCCCGCCGCCGGCCGGCGCCGACGCCGCCGACACAGCCGGCGCGCCGCCACCGCCACCGCCGGTGCCGCCGCTGGCGTCGTCGCTGGCGTCGGCGGTGATACAGCCGACGGACGATGCACCCATGTCGGAGGGCAACTCGCTGCAGATGCTGCAAAAGACGACGCAGCAGGTGCTGAACAACGCCAGCCAGGGCCTGCTCGCCAACAACATGGTGGACGAGATGTATCGGCACACCAAGGCACCGAGCGTTTTCACCGGCGATCGCAAGGACACGCCGTTCTTCAAGCACCGCTGTCGCTACTGCGGCAAGGTGTTCGGCAGCGACTCGGCGCTGCAGATCCACATCCGCTCGCACACCGGCGAGCGGCCCTACAAATGCAACATCTGCGGCAACCGCTTCACCACCAAGGGCAACCTCAAAGTACACTTCCAGCGGCACAGCGCGCGCTTTCCGCACGTCAAGATGAACATCAACATGGTGCCCGAGCATCTGGACAAGTACTACCCGCCGCTGCTGGCGCAACTGGGCGAGCTGCCGGAGACGCCGCAGCCGCCGGTGCCGCCGCCCCACTTCGGCTCGCCGCTGCTGGGGCCGCCTCCGCTCTACTCGCGCGCCCTTAACGACGAGACGGAGCCGAAGGCCGGCGGCGAGCGAGGCAAGGCGGGCGGGGAGCGAGGCAAGGCGGCGGGCGAGCGCGCGAAGCACCCGCCTCCTCTTCCTCCTCCGCCGCCGCCACCGCCACCGCCACCGCCGCCGCCGCTGCCGCTGCCACTACCGCCGGCGGCGGGCGAGTCGGCCGACTGGAGGGAGGCGGCTGACGAGCCACTGAGCCTGACCAAGCCGCGCGAGCGCCGGCCCAGCGGCGATGAGGCCACGCTGGACGACCGGCTGCGCGAGTTCGAGTCGCTACGCCGCCTGCTGCCGCCGCTCGCCAAGCGCCCGGTTGAGGACGAGCCGGCGCTGGACGAGCCCAAGCGGCTGCGCGCCGACGAGCCGGCGGACGTCAAGTGCGAGCCGGCGGACGAGGCGCCGAGGCCGGACGGCGAGGCGGAAGAGCGCAGCCGAGATAGCCGGCTGAGCGAGTCGCGCGACGCGGCCAAGTCGGACGGCGAGGAGCCGGACCGCGACTCGCCAGCCGAACGACCGCAGAATCTCTCCAAGACCGGCTCGCCGCCGCCGCCGCCGCCGCCGCCGCGCTCAGCCGCCTTCGCCTCGCTCAGCCAGCGCATGCTGCCGTCGTTTCCGTTCTCGTTCCCGATGACCACGCTGCCGCAGTCGCCGTTCCCGTTCCACTCCAGCTCGTTCAACCCGATCCTGAGCCTGCCGCCCGACGTGGACCCCAGCAAGCACCCCAACATCTACACCAACCTGCTGCCCAAGCCGGGCGTCAACGACAACTCGTGGGAGGCGCTGATCGAGGTGCAGAAGACCTCGGAGACGTCCAAGCTGCAGCAGCTGGTGGACAACATTGAGAACAAGATCACCGACCCGAACCAGTGCGTCATATGCCAGCGCGTGCTCTCCTGTAAATCGGCCCTGCAGATGCATTACCGCACGCACACTGGTGAGAGGCCATTCAAGTGCAAGATCTGCAGTCGCGCCTTCACCACCAAGGGCAACCTCAAGACACACATGGGCGTACATCGCTCCAAGCCGCCGGTGCGCATGTCACACCAGTGCCCCGTCTGCCACAAGCGCTTCCACAACGGCCTGATCCTGCAGCAGCACATCAAGCTGCACACGGGCGAGCCGACCGAGATGACGCCGGAGCAGATCGCGGCCGGCGAGGTGCTGGAGCCGCTGCTGCCGCTCGGGCCCGGCTTCCCACCCGGCGCCATGTTCCCCGGCGGCTTCCCGCTGCCGCCCAGCCACCTGCCCGGCTTCCCCGGCTTCCCGGCCGGCTTCCCGCTGCCGCTGCACAAGCGGCCGCCGTCGCTCGGCGGGCGCCGCGACGAAAACGGCAACCGCACCAAGGAGGAGGCGGCCGCCGCCAACGGACAGCGCTCGGACGTGTCCGGCGACGACTCGCTCGACTCGGCGGCGGCCGGCAGCGGCGGCTCGCCGGGGCCGCTCGAGCCGGCCAGCCCGGCCGGCTCAGGCTCGCCGCGCCGCTCGCCCGGCGCCTTCAGCCCGGAGGACTCGGGAGCGCAGCCGCTCGACCTCACGCCGCGCTCGAGCGGCGCGCCGGCGCCGACGCCGGCGGCGGCGCCGGCGGCGCGCGTGCCGGCCGGCGGCCCGCTGCTGCGGCTGCCGCTCGGCGGCTTCCCCGGGCCGTTTCCGCCGTCGCCGATGTTCGGCTGCGGCCAGTTCGGGCTGGACGCCCGCTTCCCCGGCGTCGGCTACCCAGGTGAGCAGAGCGGAGGCCGGCGCCGATTGGTCGGCGCTGCTCGGTGGAGCGGCGCTTGCTCGTGTCCACCGACGTGCCGCCCGCCGTTGCTGTTGTGTACAACCAGGTCGTTGAGGCTGCCGACTGGCGGCGTGACGTGGTGTCAATTAACCACCGAAATCAGGTGACCATGATCAGCGCTTAGCCGCTGCCGGGTGTTGCTGTCGCAGCCTCAGCGTTGCTTACCGCCGCGGCGGAATGTCCGGGAGAGCCGGCGCGCTGTCCGGCCGCCGTGCCGATGCCGCGTCTGCCGATTAGCTGCGGTGCAGGACAGGCCAGTGACGCTCTCCTTGCCGGTGTGTTCCAGTGATGCGCGGTAATACAACATGCAATCTGTGCTTCAAGGTTTTCGCCTGCCAATCAGCCTTGGACATTCATTATCGCAGCCACACAAAGGAACGGCCCTACAAATGTCCCCGCTGCGGCAAAGGCTTCAGTACAAAGGTGGGTGGCGGCGGCGGCCTGTGCACAGGGTCCGTGGCGGGGGGGGGGGGGGGGGGGAAGGAGCGGTGATCAGGCGTGCATGATGAATTCAAACTGTCGCTGACGTCATCAGATAGGCATGCATTGCAAATTCTCCCTGACTTGACGGTGTTTTGAGTTGATTTCTGACGGCGATATCGCTTTATCCTCGCTGTCATTGGGCCATAGGCATAGGCATAGGCCATTAAGCGGCAGTAAAGGAGGAAAGTGCGCAGTACAACATCATGACATGGTGTGCAGATGTGATGACGTGCAGACATTCAACGTGATGTACAGACAGATCTAACGCCTGCATATGTTAGCAAAGCTCCCATATTCCTGAGTTCTACGCAGGGAGGGCTCGGGTGCCACGAACCGGTCGAGTTTTGTTCATTGGGGCGGACTTGTCATGCATGACTTCTCACTGGGTTACCACCATGGGTTCAACTTGACTGTTAATTACGGAAGCATTTCCATCCCCAACATCTCAGAAAATCAACACTAGTGCTATGCCGTTACATCAAGGAACTTAACTCAAAATGTCATTCGTATCCCCCAAAATTTAGGTAGCAGTCAATTTGGTCAGAAGTCTACCCGAAACTATTCCGTGCTGCCCTGAGCCGACGTAGGAAGCAGACCCCAGCGCGATGAGTCGGAGTCGAAGTTGATAACTGTGCAGCGTAATCTGGCGCAAGTGTGCGCCAGACGCCGCCAGACACGTCAGATATATTTCTGCTAGAGACGGGTACTCTGATGTCTGCGGTCTACCTTGGAGGAAGCATCTCACTGCAGACTGCAGTTTACGCGCAGGAGTAAGAACGAATGACTCGCAGGAGTGACATACCGCTGTTTGTGTGTAATTGGCTGCGGAGGCGTGACACACTGCGCTTAATTAGTTGACATGTCACAGCCAGTACTCGCTGACGTGCTGCAGAGCAGCGACTCTTGTGCGTCCGTGGTCTCTGCGGTCTCTCCACTTTGTGGCTGCTTATCTTCGGCTTAATTTAATACCATTCCAGCAGATTAGTTGGCGCGAGTGTTATCCCCGTTCAGACTCCCCCCCCCCCCCGTTCATGTTTAATGCAGTTTTATGTCTTGAAGTCAAAATTCCATCTCGGCCCGCCGAGAACGGAAGTGGAGTTTTCACAACAAATCATTATCAAACGGGATGTTATTATCGGAGGAACGTCGTCCATTGTGATTTTCACGCGGAAAGTTTTCTTTTATATATGTGCAAAGTTTAGAAGGTTCATTTTATAGCGTAAGTTCGCTGAACTTTGGCTAAGAACTGTACGGTAAATGTATTATTCGGCCCATCACGCGACGGGGCAAGTTTTACGACTGCATTTAAAGTTGTTCCACGCAGCTGGCACCCAAGTCATTTTCTGGCTTTGATTGGTTCATTTCAGTAAATATGATAGCAGACACAAACACTTCAACACCAGAAGTTTGTGATGTCCTCGTACGGCGCTGGATGGACCCCTTCAGCATACTTCATTTCCTGGGACGTCCGGAACTGCAAAAACGAGCTCTTGGTACACGAGGGTGTTCAGTCATTTACCGACATCTACCGAGTACAAATGTAACCATCAATGCACTACCTTTCACCAGAGCTTCCCAGCGCTCACTCGTGTGCGTTCCTACCGTCTAACCTCCGTCACGCACTTCGCAGGGAAACATGAAGCAGCACCTGATGACGCACAAGCCGAAGGAGACGGGCTCGCCGGTCGAGACCTGTTCCGACGGCGAGGCGACGCGTCCCCCGAGTCCCGACGCTCCCCCAGCCCCGTCCAACGGGAGCACCGAGCCACCCCCTCCCCGGACGCCAGGTGCGAGCGGCGGCGGCCTCCTCGGCGGCCGTCAGCCCGCGCCGTGCACTGCTCGGTCGGACGGCGGAGATGTGGCAGTAGCAGGCGGGAGTTGGCTTGATGCGGAAGTGGGGAGGAAGGTGGGATGAAAATGCCAGCGCGGATAACGCCAAAAAGCATAGTTTTCGGACTTGTTGGGCATGGTTTACAGATTAGTACACGTGTCTTCTCGATGAAATAATCCAGCAAGTGACGTTAAACTGCCTCTTTCGGTGTCTGCTATCTGACCGCGCTTTGATGTATGCAGCCTTGGGACTGAACTGTGATGCAACACACCCTCGACCGCGCGGCAGTACGTCATTTTCGGGCGTTTTACCAACCGCACGCTCCGGCAGATGACCGCGAACGCTGGGGGTCACCGCCGGTCCTGGGGGATGACCTATCGGCGCTGACCTCTAGGCCCATCAACTTTGCCCTGCAACCTCAGGCGGTTAGCAATGGTTAGTATTGCGGCCCTTTGTTTGAGTGCTGTGAAGGACAGTCCGTGCACCAGTTTAAAGGCAGAAGTCTCTGGAAAACTTTTTAGACTAGGGAGCTCATTTATGCTGAGTTTGAATAAGCCTTACATAAGGCTGGCAGAGTTTATCGTGTGCTCATACGTATGCGTGCACTTGGTGTACTAAAACATTGATATACACTCGTAAATAGCAGCCGTACCAGAGAGTAAATTGATACATGCAATCGGCAACGGAACTGCTGTTGACAGGGTGTGTGATTTCCTATTCAGTTGGGAGTGGGTTCCAGCTTTACCTTCAACTACTTGTTAGCGGAATTTTTCGGCAGGTGGCTTCACTTTTCACTGCCAAGCCCCCCCCCCCCGCAACTCGTTTTGCGGAACTATGCCCCTGGTTGTAGCCCCTCTCCGCATCCGTGCCTGGTTCCGGCCTGGTGCACTACTGACGCGCGATCACTTCTCACGACTCTCCACTCTCTCCCCAGCGCCCTGAGGTTCACACCGGCATCGTCTGGCGGCCGGCCGGCTGCCACCACACATATCACTCCAGAATGGAGTCCGAGTGACGTCACCCGCTGCCTCTCGGAGACGTCGCGGTCCGCTCGTCGCCCGGTGCGGCAGCCATCGTTCCTACCTGTACTAGTCGTGAGAGAGGGCAGCTGACGGGCCTCGACGGCTGAGCCGACAGCTGATCGCGGGCGGCGGACCGAGGGCGGAGGCGGGGCGTGCAAGTGTACCACGTGTTCGCGGGCGTCCGTCGGGCGACGCCTGCGCCTGGCGGCCATGTCGTGAACTACGCAAACGTGGCCGACGCGGCCGCTGCGCCGCGACGCGACGGCAGCGCCGCCTATATTTATCTGGAAAACAAAGTGCTTTAGGCTATGTTTGCTTCGCGAGCGGCGGCGCGGCTGCGGCTGCGGGGAGGCGGGCGCGCGCGTGGTGTTGGTCAGGGTGCGATTCGAACTCGGTGTATATACGCGACACGTTCCTGGGCAGCCTCGACGAACGGTGCCGTTATCACGTCTCCCTGGCCGTTTTGGGTGTCATGTTGTTGCCAGTTGTTGTTGTTACCTGTATTATAAGAGCGATATCGCTTATTTGTAGCTAGCGTTCACCCGTGTATTTATTTGAGCACCTGTGTCAGGATTGGCTGTCCGCAGGCGCGGCTGGAGCGCTGAGAGAACCTCGAAAGTACCTAGCAGCGAAGATCATCTCTAGCAACGCTTAACAGGATACACAACACAATGAAAACTCATTGTTCGGCCGTTCAGTTAGATATTTTGGGCAAAAATATGTTGTTATTGCTTGTGTACGGAGTCGATGTTGGTTGTTCAGCTGCTGTTTACCCAGAACTGAGGCACTCGTAAATCAGCTGTTTACTGCGGCTGGCAGTCCGGACGGATTCAGTCGGACCGTATTGAAATCGCATCAGATGTCCATCCCGTCACATTTCACCAAAAAATGACAATGAAAAAGCAGTGTTGACCTGAAACCAGCGACAGAAACTCGTGCTTTCCCCCCGTATGTCCTCAGCCCACTTCTTTACTGAAGCCGCCAAAGCTGGTGTTATGTTCTGTGATATATAGACAGAAGATCTGGCATCCAATCATTCCATCGCTCGCGGCAGATTCGCTGTAAGCCGGGAAGTCGACCATGCTCACTGCGAGGCCAGGCTGCGTTGGGCATTCCTGCACGCGCCGAAGTTGGCAGCACTGTGGAGACCGCATGACGTCATGCAATTTGTTCCAAAGGTGGAGTGTGTTTCGCTTGTGTTGCCACTTCTGGCCGATACCAAACTGAGTCGCCTCCTGCCCTATCCCGTGTAAATATCTTGCGAACCATGCCACATTTCTGGATTAAATCACCTTTTCAATGTGCTGTAGTGAAATGTTTTTTAATAAATATGACCACAACAATACGATTTTGCTCGCGTTTGTAACCCGCAGGGGCTCTACACGCCGAGAGCTCGCTTGACGCAGCTTAATACCATCGAGCAAAAGCGTTTGACATCGGGCTGCTTGCTGTGCATAGGTGTTTTCGAGCGCGTCGACTTCACTGGTCATTTTACGCCCATACATCAGGCTACCGCAGTGAATGTTTGAGGCCTCCAAGTCAACGGGGCGATACGCGACAGTAAAAAAATACCTTGCGTAAATCTCCTGACCTCCGGTAGGGTATAACTCGTTCATCTTTGCACCCCTTCACTTCGCCTTCTTGCACCCTGTCGTCACGCCCGAGCTGGACACCCCTCCGCCGGATCCCGTCGCCAGGAGACACCAGCCGAGGACAGACGCCGTTTATTTCACAGGTGTTGAGGACAGGTACAGGTCGGCGGTGCAGTGCGCCACGAAGGCCGCGCGCGCGCCACGACCGACGCGCCGCGAAAATGAGCAACGCGTGCCGATGGCGGTCCGGCGGCGGCTGACGGGGCGAACACGAGAGCTCACCCGACTACGCGTTGTCCCACGTGTTTAGAAAAACCGGCTACAAACTGGAGAACGCCGACATAACCGACCCACGCCCGTCGTTACTTGTAAAAGCTTCCTCCAACGATACACGTCATAAATACTTGGCCGGCATTGGACCCTTTCACGGAGCGCGCTGACGTCAGTCGACCCATGGCCTTTAAACACATCACGCGCAAGAGCAGCAAACTGAGGGGCCTGGAAATGAGACACAATTCAGCCCCGCAACAACGCAGGTTTTCGTGGGCCATAAATGAGATACGCCGAACCATGATTCGCGCAACAAAAACGCGCTCTCTTCCAGTAGGACCCCGACCCACCCCCTGGCGGCAACGCGGAAAACCAACAGAACACAACTGCAGCACAACTCTGTCCGGCGGGGGTCGGCCAATTGAAGACCTCTGGTGGGATCCAACGAAGATGATCCGGCCGCACCGAGACACGCGCCCGTGACCCGACCGGGATAACTGTGCGTGACCCGACGGCAGCACTCGTGACCGGACAGACGCCCTCAGGCGGGGCAAGTAGCGGCCTGACAGCCGCGCGCGAGCCTGACGGCGACACTTTTGATCACAAAGAACACCGGTGACCGGACAGGCCGTAGCCCTGGCGGCCTGTCAGTGCCGCTCGCGGCCGCAGAGCCCGGACGGCACTCCGTCACCCCCACCAGCGCACCGGAGGGCTCCAAAGGCCGCCGCCGATCGTCCGCCCTGCACACCGCCGCCCTTGCCGTCCGTGCCGACCTGTCAGCCGGCCGCAGCTGCACCGTCGTGCTCTGTCCGCCCCGGGACAGCGTCCTTTGTACCTGGCCGCACCGGCCCGCCACCGCGCTGCGCCGCGCCGCGCCGGCGGCTACTTCTTGCCGGAGGTGCCGCCCCAGCCGGGCGGCAGCGCCTGCGACGGCAGCATGTCCAGCAGGTACTGGCGCTGCATGTCGGCCAGGGCCTGGCTGGTCTTGGCGGCGCTGCCGCCGCCGCCGGTGGCACCGCCCGCCTGGGCTGCCTGCGCCATCGCCAGCTGGTACGAGTACATGAGCGGGTTGAACTGGCCGAGCATGTGCTGCAGCGCCGCCTGGCCATGCGCGCCCGGCAGCCGCAGCATCTGCTGCTGCGCAGCCAGCGCCGCCGACTGGTTCATGGCGGCGGCGGCCATCATCATCGGGTTCATCAACGCCGAGGCGTACTTGGGATCGGCAAGCTTCTTCATATACTCGACCTCGGCGGCGGCCAGCTTGCTGGCGGTGGACGAGCTGCGCGAATGGTGCGCCTCGCGCGGCTGGTGTGCCTCGCGCGCGTGGTACGCGTCGCGCGCCGTGTGCGGCGAGCTGCGCGACGAGTGGTGCGCCTCGCGCGCGCCGTGGTGCGCATCGCGGGCGCCATGGTGAGCGTCGCGGGCGCTGTGGTGAGCGTCGCGGGCGCTGTGGTGAGCGTCGCGGGCGCCATGGTGAGCGTCGCGGGCGCCGTGGTGAGCGTCGCGGCTTGAGTGATGAGAGTCGCGCTTGGCCGGGATGGGCGTGATGGTAGTCTCGGGAGTGGGCGGCAGCGGCGTGGAGGCGGGCGCCGACGGCGAGGCGGCCGCCATCTTGGCCAGCTGCTGCTCAATCTCCTGCTCCTGCTGCAGCGCCTTGACAAAGGCCGTCTTCAGGCGGCTGGTGTGCTCCGCCTTCAGCTTCTTCTTGATGTTGCTGGTGACGCAGTCCTCGCACGTGACGCGGCCGGTCCGGTTTCGCTCCCACTTCCACACGGTGGTGAAGTCGCGTCGGCACTGACTGCAGCTGAAGTTCTCCCAGCTGGACGTGTCGGGGTTCTCCGACTTGATGAAGTCCACCACCTTCTCCAGGCCGAGTAGGTACACGAACGGCGTGTTGGTGCCGCACGGGATGAAGCCCATCTCGGGCGGCGGTGGCTTGGGCGGCGGGATCTGCAGCAGCGTCTTCTCCAGCTGCTTGCGCAGCGCCAGCTTGGCCACCTGCTGGCGCTGCTCGGGCGTCTGCTCGGCCGGCCGGTGGTGCGCCGGCTCCGGCTGGCGCGACAGCACCGGCGAATCGCGTCGGATGTCCACCTCGGCCGTCAGCGGGTACGAGCCGTAGGCGGCGCCGTACTGGCCGTGCGGCGAGCTGGCGCCTGTCTTCAGCAGGCCGTGCTGCGCCGCCATCAGGCTGGAGAGCGTGGTGTGCGCGCCGCCGCCGCCGCTGGCGCGACCCGTCGGGATCACCGACACCGAGCTGGTGCCCGAGCCGCCGCGGCCGCCGCCGCCACCGCGCGAGCCCGACGAGCTCTTCACCGACATGGTGACGCTGGGCGGCGGCGTGAAGCCAGCCGTCGACACCTTGGCCGCCTTGGCGGCGGCCGGCGGCTTGACCGGCGGCGCCACCGACACGTTCTCCTTAGCCTGCACCTGGCGCACCCGCTTGAGCAGCACCAGCTTGCTCTCCTCGTTGCGCAGCTCCTCGCGGAACTTCCGGATCAGCTCCATCTTCTCGGCTAGCTCGGACGGCGACAGCTCCTTGATGGGCGGCAGCGGCTTCTCCACGTCGCTGTCGTCGTCCGTCTCCTCCTCGACCACCACCAGTTCGGTGGCCTCTGTATAGTTCTTCTCGGTGCGCGGCCGCAGCGAGCGACGGCCGCCGCGGCCCTCCTCGGGCGCCGACCGCTTGCCGGCGCCTTCCCCCATGCGTGTGACGGTGATGCCTCGGCTCGACAGGTCCATGATGGCCTCGCCCACCTTCGACGCCGGGTCCCGCTTCACGCTGAGGTCCATGGCGGCGGCCGAGCGGGCGCCGCGCCGCCCCTGGTCCGACTGTGTCGCTGACGCGCGCCGCCGTCGGCGCAGGGCGCGCGGGGCTCACGATTGGCTGGCGTGCGCAGCGCCGGCTCAGGCCACAGGCAGACCTGCAGACAGAGGGTGGCAGTGAGCAGAGTATGCTTAGGTACATAACTGAGGGACATACCTGGTGTGCTTCAGTTATGCACTGCATTACATACCAATGTAAGCACATAACTGATGGGCAGGAGCTTTGATATGGTGGGGGCATTAATGATTTGGTCAAAATACCATAGGTGATGGCAAATGCCTATGATGGCCAGACAATGTGATGATGACGACAGCAATTTGGGCTGTATCGAGAGCTGACTTCCCTGGTCATATGGCACCCATAACTCACTTCTCATTTGACAGATGAGTGATAATAGCAAGAAGACAAGGTCACATTAGATATATGGTATGGAATTGTATGCCTGCAAGAATGGCCTGACACCAAGGGCTATTCAGATAGTCAGATGTGAGGGAGCATTGCACCTGTCACAAGACACAAGAACTATTCCATTGCCAGTTGCATGGGCTACAATGCCTGCTCTGTTACTGCAAGTTGAAAATCAGTGATACTGCTTCAAATCACAGGTTGCACACATAAATATAGGAGCTTGTTACAGTTACAGTACTGAGACAAGCTATAAGTAAAACCAATAGAATAGTGCTTGGACCACTGTCCTCATCTGATGTGTTATTAACTACACATAATTTTGGTCAGGCACTTTTCCAGCAATCCTCAGGTGTTGTTGTTAAGCATGAAGTTGTGCTCTGACACATAAATGGCTAAAAGCCATACACTGTCCAGTTCCTCTCAATGGCACTAGGCAATGACCATAGACCTAGCTGGATGAACCATTGTGCAGACACTAACACACAAGTAAAAGACAACAGCCCAAATAATAAGTTGATCTGAAAAATGGCCTTGCTGCATGCTTGCTGCAGCCTGTTGCTTGCCTTTGTTGTTATAGCTTAGGAATCACTTTTAAGCAATAAATTCAGCTACCATTGCCATTTTTCTTGACCATTCAGTATGACTGCTAAAAAAACTACTATAACTACACCCAGCACTTCAGACTAAACAAACTTGTGGATAATCACTTAGCTGCATCACTCCAAGAGATTGCACACCATGTGGACACACTTCATGCTACACAATTACAAATCATATCAGAAAAGTAAGACATCAAAATGTGAATGTGGACATGCTTATGCTGACAGCAAACCACCATCTGTGTATAACCAGCTACATACATAATTTGGGCATTGTAAAATAATCCTGAGTCACACTTCAACATGACAATCAACAAACTTAAGTGAACCAAATTCCTCCACCCAAAACATGGCAAACAACTTGCCCCACAACTCAAACCAAGGTGATACAAACACAACACATCTTACATAATATGCAATACAGCAATAAACTAGCTGAGGCATTCATGCGGAGCTGATGTAGTTTAATTTTGGTAATCCCTGTCTGTGATCCCATTCATAGTTATGTACCATATGTCAGGACCACAGGTGCCAAATTCCAGAAATTCTTGTCCAAGGTCCAATCCAAAGTACAGGGACGCACCACCTGTCTTTTGCACAAAAAAGTTTAAAACATGAGATTGTCAGAGAACAATGAATTTTTTGCCATATAACATAACTGCCATATATGCTAATGAAATCAGATGCTTCTCATGTCTGCATTACCCCACTTAAATGCAATGAAAAGAAAGCAAGTAATCATGGGTGAGAAATGTTTTTCTCAGGACTTCATGAAAACATCCAAATTTTCACTGATGTCTGCTAAGATTGATGATGACAGTTTGGTCAGGTGGTGAGTTGCACTGAATCATAACTAATCAAGAAATGAGCATCACAGGCTCTCCTGAAGACATTAACATCACACACCTGACTATAGAAACTTCCTCATGATTCAAGACAAGCTTTTCTAGTGAGCTTTATCAACAATTTTCAATGTTCCTGAATCAAATTTTGTTGACCAAGGGCAGCATCAAATTAGTTCAGATACCCACCAACATGCAACACAACAAAATGGAATCAGCTGCAGCTGCAGCTGCTGCAAAAGGTCCCTTGGCTGTCCATTTCCAAATTGAACTCTTTGATTTGTCAATAAAAAAGCTGGAATTTCATTGGCATCCCCAATCAGACATTTACCAACACTAGTGACTATTAATGTATCCATCACCATGGCAGACATCAGAGAATAACTAGGAAGAGCAGGGAAAAGGAAGGCAGGCAGGGTGTATGAATGGAAAAGGGTGCACAGCACATAAGGATGGGAAGGGATGTGTTTGGGAGATGCTTATGTGGTCCCCATCTCTTTACCTATAATAGGTCCCAAGTTCAACAAATCACAACATACAGGTAGTAGTGCAAAATCAGGGGAGGGGAGAGGAAATAAGCATGCATGTTGCTGAATGGTGGCTGGCTGATGCTCATTTCTAGCTGTCATTGTAAATCTTTATATTTATCTTCTTTGTGCACTAAAATTACACACCACTAGATCAGTTGTAACATTCATTAAGATCAGGTTTGGCTGATTGTCTTGCTTTGCATGGGATTCTGTATCACCTAACATGTGCTTCAGTCTGTTTGTCAAGGGTATTTACAACAAAGCATTCCATCCAAATTCAAAGACATTGCCAGTCAGTTAAAGAACATCTTATTTTGCTTGGTCACCAAATACAGTGTGTACCCCAACAATATGATTAGGCTTGTGTATTTGGGTGTACTTAACATCTCAACAAATTCTCAGCTGACCAATATCATAACAAAACCTCTTCATATGAATGCAGATTACATTCATTATTCAGTCAGTGCTTCACCTTCACCACACAATACAATACCTTAGGCTTCCCATCAAATACAAAATAGGCTTCCTATCAATGCAAAAACTATGTCTGAAAGCAAGCATGAATGAAATGGCTGCACAGATACCTGGTAAATGATGTGGAAAATCACTATGAATCTGGTATCCAAAAGTTGCCCATCAAACCACTCAGTGCTCACACCATGAAAGTGCGGAATATTTTCTTAGGTGTTGAGTCAAGTCAAATACAAATTTGATAACCTAGATTTTAATCCTCATCTCTCCTGTCCAAGGCCTAAGAGCCCAAGGCCTAAGAGCCATTAGTTAGCATAGCAGTTAGACCTTTTCCCTTTGGATGGCACATGTGCTCGCCACATGTTCTAACTGCTACCCAACCGCAAATAATGACAGCTCATAACTACCAATTTGCTATTTTGCTATTTTATATGCCATATAGCCTCAGCAGCTGAGTGCATCATAAAGCCCAAATGACACACATTTGCTACTTTGCTTTGCACAGCAAACCTCAACACAGACATTCCCTTGATAATATGAAGGGTGTGCAGGACTTCAACACAAATTCATGTTACCAGAATCTCACTCTCCAGCAGCCCACATACAATTTGCTGGTGCTAATCTGTTACTCTTTGACCCTGAACCCAGATGCCTGACCTGCACAGACCATTTCTCACCCCAAGGTGCTTCAATACAGGGTTAACAGCTGCCTAGCTCAATGCTGATTGGCCAATTTTGAACAAGGAGAGGGGCAATAGGCAGCAAGCCACAAGCCCAGGTGTAGCAACATGACAAATATTGATGTGCATGCCACCCAAGTGGCTGAATATCATAACACTGATGTAATATGCCCTGAATGCAAAGGTAGGCACAGTGCAAGTTCAGCATGTGAGGATGCTTCCTTCTGGTTCCAACATGGGAAGCATTCAAGATCAAGGCAAGCAAGTGGAAGCTGGCAAGCACAATTGCACCTGCTGACAGTACCACAGTAATTTAGACCTGGGAAAAAACATGATGCTTTAATTCTGGGTTTTCATGACAAGACACATAAAACCACAGTTTTATGGAAAGCACCTTCTGATGAATACAAGAAACCATTGGACATTAAACGCTATATAAAACATGTTTGATTTCCTTCCCAACATTGCACTTGATTCATTAAAACATCACTTGGAAGACACCTAAATGTTGGTCGAGGCTGAGCCTGCACCTGGATCACACTACTGTGCACATCTGGCATGATGGTGTCATCCTTCACCAGGGCTTTGACAGGGGCTGGCTCAGGATTAACATTTTGGCTGGCTGAGCTAGTTTCTGACACTTTCTGGTTCCACTGGCTGAAACCAGCAGCAACAGTTAGAAAATGAGAAAGCCATGACACTCCCCATTTTACCAACTACATTGCCATATTTCAGTCACAGTGTTAACTCTGTTATCAACATAACTGCCAACAGCACAGAAATAGTGCAGCAGCATGATGGAAAAATATAGCATACCTGTCACAGGCAGGACATATATTAGCACCAGAACCTGCACCCATGACCACTACTTGTGATCCAAACAGAGTGTAATTTCAATCAGTTGGAATAAGTTTGTAGTTTCCGTCACCCCCTCTCCCCCCCTCCAACTTGGGCTCCAGCCATGGACATTGGGAATAAAGTGGACCAAATCTGGATAGAAACCTGTTTGCTGGCATATTTTGGGGGCATGTCCAGTCATGTCTCATTATTCAGTCCTGCCTCATTTTGGGACTATGCTCCTGTATGCAGTTTGTTTTGATAAAATCAGGTGCAGCTGGGTACTAATCACAGATATGAACTGATCAACCAGCAATAAGTAATCACGTGTAAGTACAACACTATGCATGTAAGCTTGATAGATGTGACCATGCTCAAATCTGCGTATCAGTAGATAGCAATTAATGTTTTCAATTGAAAATAAGAACAGGGCATGTTGCCAAGACAGATGAATTGATGCTGTATTGCTGTCTGTCTTCAGATTTAGTTTAGAGTGTGCTATGCAAAAGTGGTAGTATAATGTGATATGTGCATCACAATGTCAGGGGAGATAACATAGATTGGTGATGCTTTTAGAAAAAAACATCAGTGTTCCCAAAAAATACATCAAGCAGGCATCATGATGGATACCAAGACAAATATTAAGATTTCACCTCAATATACCATGATCAAATATACCTAGACATACCATATCATTAACTAAATATACCACATGCAAGGAACTAATCCCCTTGCAACTCTACTGCAACTGTTCCCTCCCTAACTTTAGGCAGAAAGTGGGCTAAGCCTGGGGAGAAGCCTGTTTTTTGGCATATTTCAAGGGTAGCTTGGGTCACTTCTCCACTGCTCAGCTTCCCTCCCCACTCTCTCCCAGCTCAGCCTGCCTCCACCTACCCCTACCAGTAACCCTGTTTTTCTTGCTACCATAACAGGAGGCTTCACCTCATCATGCCTCTTTGAAAGTCCAAATGCCTGGCTTACCAATCATCACACAATTTTTGGATAGTGTGGCAAGCTAGGAAGCAGTGTGAGATCTTAATTGTTTTATTTGCAGGAGTAAAGTGATTCAATGATAATGCTTTCTGACACTGGATGGTATACTATGGCCTTAAGGAGTCTTAGATGGTCATCTTATAAAGATTTATATGTTTTGAAAAGTAGTGCCAGCACCAGACAATGCCATGCAAATAGAGTGTATGACATAAGTACACCACTCCCTTGCAGAATCTAAAACCAAGACAACACATTTTGGAACACTGCACAGGCAGGCAATGTTTCAGGGCATTGTGATGTAGCAAGATTTATTTCAGGAAAAAACCCTCAACAGCTCTATTCTAGCTAAAATCATTGTGCAAAAACAAGTGGATTTACACAAATGAGCAGAACAGTCAAACATTTGCCTTAAGTCTTGTTTTAAAGCCAGATGTGTGTGCTTGCAAGTTAAGGCTGAAGCAGTGTTAGGAATGAAGAGCTGTACTCCCAGGTCATATGGCATGCCTGAAATCAATGAGAAACAGTGAAGAGAGATGAACATCAGCCACAGAAGAGCTTGCTGTTTTTGCTGACTGTAGATCCTCCACACTCCAATTACATTGAGGGATTTAGCCTGCCAAACATGTTCAGCAAGCAGTGAGCAAACAAAGACATCAAAACATACTAAAATGGTCCTTACCTAGCAACTATGTTCAGCTTTTTTCAATGAGTACTATTTGAAACACATAGCTTCCACGTCTTCATCAATTTGCGGCGATCCACAACCTTACACCAAGACACATGTCTTGCCACCGCCGGGCAGACAGCTTAGTTACCTTTTGTCCAAAATGTAACCACACACCACTGATCAACCTAACGCACAACACCTGAGCCGTAATTTGCAAAATCCACACGTCATCAATGGTTGCATGAACCCAGTCACACACGAACAACGACCTTTCCGTCCAAAATCAGGGGCTTTCGACGCCGCAAAAACTACCGCTATTTAGGGATGAGCGGATTACGTGTGGTGTTCAGTGCTTTGAGAGGTTTATGTATGTTTTTTGAAATTTATTGCATTCTGATAAATATGATAATTCGGTATTTACGCTGTTATATTAATGAATTAAGCAGAACAATTTATTGAAATACAATAATGTCTTACGTTATTGGACGCGAATGTTTGGAATCGGCACTATCCGGGTGCAAAGGTATTGAGCTAAAATTGCAAATTTCCACAGCTTTAAACATTAAAAAGTGCACCTCATTCAATTCAAGTTGAAGAAAAAGAGATGACAGTGCTTCAGCATGCTGTGGAGCGTCATTTCATGTATAATGAAGTTTTATGACCCCTTTCAAGGCCATAGGACTATATTCTTCAGAAGCAGACAGCAAGAGTATGAATATGTCTGAGCGCATGACTACACTAAGTGCTGTTCTTGTATCACGTGACTTTTGTCTTATAGTAAAAGTTTTGAATATTTAGAGCTATTCTGTTCTCAAAATTATCTAAAAAAAGATGTATTTAAAAAAAATATTCTTTAATAATTATTTATGATTAAAACGACTTGAAATATCCGCATAAATACTCTAATTTTTCTCAATGTCACGTGGTTATACCAAGGTAAAGGGCTGCAAACATGTTCTGTTTTGATTGCGAATCATGCGCACTTGACGTCAAACATAAACTCGCTGTGTTTGGGCGGTTTGGGACGCTGTTGTGTCGCCCTGCGTGTCGGTCGTCCGCGGAGGTGCTAGATAAGTGCGCTGAGCGCTCGTCCGCGGTAGGTGGCAAGAGACCTTCAATTGTTCACAGCTGCTCAGTGAGTGACCACGAAAATTCGTCGCATTTCTAGAAGAATTTTCCCCGCTATTTCAGTTTTGCGACCTGGGTCTTGGAAAACGTCGAAAAGTATTCAGGTCCTGAGGTTTTTTTCCAGGTGCCTTGTGGTTGCAGGGAAAACGATGACTTATTTGTGATGGAATGATATTTCCATGACATGGAGATGTAAACAAAGGACAACATTTGTCCAATTCCCTGCACCGTTTTTGGTGACACGAAAATTCACTAGGTAAACTTGAGGCTTGAGATGCTCATGCTGCATGCAAGATACAAGACTGATGCAAGCCAGTGTGACACAAATCAGAGGCAAATTTTTGGCTCATTGAAAGGAGAGATTGCTGTTCTGGTGTCAAGGAATAGTAGGAAAGGCTGCATGTTGAAGTCTTTCAAGAGCTTTTAAGTCTTCAAAGGATGGCCATTCAAAGGGTCATGGAGATTTTTCACATTGGCGTGCTCATCACTGGAGGACTGCTGATCACTAGCAGACAGGTGGAAGGTAAGTCAAGCTATGCTTCTCAGTGTTTGTGTTGTAGTAAGCTGTGGTAGTGCTATGTATTTTGGTGCTCCAAGGAGGTGTCACCTCCTTTAATGCTTCCCAAAAAAATGGGTTTCAGTGATACAATGTTCTTGAATATTGGATGATATGTTATTCCAAGACCTAGAATATTGTGTCAGCAAGTTGTACTGGTTATATCATAAGCCTGCTTATGTTGTGCTGGCAATATCAGGAATAAATTTTGTTTTGTTTTCTGAACAACAGCATTGCAGATGAATGCAGTGGGTCTTCTTAAGGTCAGGGAAGTGTAGATCATATATATACATGCCAGCTGATGGTGAAATTTGATGATGAAGTTTATAAGTACCCAAGTAATATAATGACTATCATATGATAAAGGATATCCAGTTCACTAAGTATGGTGAAGTACCAAGCCAGAAGCATAGTTATCCTAGAATTTGCATTCAAATTGGTGTCTTTCTAGATTTGGCCCCCCTGTTATGTCAAGGCTGGGAGACTTAGATCTGACATTGGAGGCTGAAGCTTGTGTCTCTCATCTAAACAAGAACATAAGCACATGTGCCCTGCCTTCCAAGTTGCTGCATTTTCAAACCTGGTAAACTGTTAATAGTGTTTGGGATTCATGAGATACTCCAGGGGTTCATGAAGTCACAGATAAGACCACCTTCACATGTAGATGAAATTGTTGATAGCTATGGCTGGAGATATGCAAAATACAAAAACTTTAGGGGAGGCAGAATCCCACTCTAGCCACATCAATATATTTGTATGCTGGTGGAATACTGAGCCTGGTAGAATTAGAGCAGAATTAAGGGGTGCTGCATTTTTTAGATGAATCTAACTGGCTGTAAAGGACAGCTCAGACTGGTGCTGGAGCAATCATATGATAACCAGTGTCCAGACCAGACTAGACTGAATGGAACTGGCTTGTGTCAGGGGGAACATATGTTATCTGGGAGCCTTCAATGTAGGTGGCCCAACAATTGTCACAGATACTGCAATTCAGCTAAATTGTGCTATTATCTGAAGTGGGGTAGGGGTGCTTTTCCATACTAAAGGCCCTGACTGGCCTGATGGGGTTCTTCTATCACACAGGGCTCTTCTATCAGTGTAAGAGTCCTGACTGGCATTTGAGGTCACAGTCTTATGATCATGAGTCCATGATGGGGGCTGCAGCTAGCCCATTGGACTCTTCTGGATTCCAGTAGGGCCTTTGATCTGGGGGGCCTTTGTCCCATGGGCCATTCAAACCCCTTTTTCCTATGCCCGCCCCCCCCCCCCCCCACACCTTTTGGGCTCTCTCAAGCTGACTCAGAGGTACTTGTCAACACAAGGCCCGCTGTTGGTCACTGTGTGTGCTGACCAACAACCGGCCTCACATTGTCTGAGGAATCCCGACCAACACAGACCGCAAGCTGGGGTCTTGTTTCTGTTCGGGAAAGGGGCCCCCCTGGGCACAGCCGGACTCGGAGACACTCGTTTGGTGTTTGTAGTCTCTGACAGCAGTAGAGGTCTGCATTATCCAAGGGGTTTTCAATAGGTGCAAAAGACCCTCCAAGTGACATCTGAGGACACGGTCCTACGGGCCGGACCCTGAGTGCGACCCACATGGAACCCTACAAGCCCCTCAGCCTTCCAGCCGGACCTGTAGTCGTCGGTTCCAAAACGTCGAGGACCCCTGTCCGATCCCGACCTTTCCGCCAGCGTGAAATATGTTCATGTGAGCGCGTTAAATGATCTTGATCTATATATATATACATATATATATATATATATATATATATATATACATATATATATATATACATATATATATATATATATATATATATATATATATATTCCATTCAGCTCCAATCCGAATATCCCCATCCTTTTCCAGTGCGACGGCCCACGTTTTCCACCCGGTAAACGCGTTGTCCGAGATTGGTCCCCGCCCGCCTACATTCAGGCCCGCAACATTTTTTTTTTTTACGGGCCGAAAAACGCGTCACGTCCGCTTTAGCACATGGGGCAGCTTATCGTGTAGAAATGCAACAAATTGGAAAGGTTTGCAGGTGACGTCATCAGCATCATGCAGTGAAGGACGGACCTAGGTCGCTTGGCCGTGACTTCGTCAGCTGGTGCGTGTCTGCACGAGCTGTGCTTCCTTTAGGAGATGCACCTCATGTACCAACAACATTGGCGTTGAGCAAATACAACGCTGGGAGGGCGAAAATATTACCGACACATCACAGTATATATGTGGGTTTACGACGTACGCAGCATACTTTTCGGGAACACTGCCCTTGAAATAACCTATGGCTCAATTGTCAAGAATACCGTACGATTGAAACATATTCACTCTAGACCTTAAAAACAAGTGTTGTCTGCTTGGCGAGTCCGACCACGTATGCTCGTACGGGGACGTAGTTTCACAATGGGTAGGGGGGGGGGGGGGGTCAACAAAGAAAAATGGCTCAGCCTAACCCCAAAATATGCCAGCAAACAGGTTCTTCTTCAGATTTGGCCCACGCAGTTCTCAAGGTTGGGGGCTGGAGCCCAAGCTGGGGGAAGCACTTTCGTCCTCTTGAACTAAATAGACATCCACACCCCTGCGTTCGTCAGGAAAATGAGGCATGAAACAATGCCGAGCCGACAGGTGTTTGAAAACCACTGCGTGTAGTGAGATTTAACACTTGATGTTGATAGTTGGCCGTCTCCTGTTGATGCAAAGGTCTGGCGATGGTTGATTCCAGCTGATTCGGCTCTAATCTATCTGTATCCGCCAGGCCTGCTCTGTGAGTGCAGTGGTAACTGTCCGGGACAGAACAATACCTGTGAGACAGACGGCGTGTGCTTCACGTCTGTGCAAAAGACGGATGTTCACTCAAAGCACATCATCACTCAGTATAAGTAAGTCTCTGGGCTGATGTGGAGAGAAGCCCTTGTGCTGTCTGGTCTGTGGCACATGGGGTGTATGTACATGTAGGCCATGAGGCATGAAGTGCTTTTGCGATAAATTCAATATGATCATGTGCATTTTGTTCAGGACACAGCAGATTATATTTGCTGTTCAGGGAATGATTTTGGAAAACGTTTTAACGTTTGCCTATACGGTCTCCATTGTGCTCTGTCTCACATATTGCCTCTCCTGGTAAACTTCATTATGTTCTGTGACCTCCGATATCAGTGTAGTGTAAAGCGCCCCTGAAACGCGGCAAGAAGCGTGCATGTCTTTACAACTGATTTATAAATAGTCATTGTATTGCTTGACTTCTAGTTACACAGAAACAGTCCAACACTACCTTAAGCATCAAGGGTGCAGCATCCTGTGTCGTGTGTGCTGGCGGCGACTGCGCTCCTGTTTCGGCCGGCGCCGTGTGTGCCGGAAGGATATCCGCCGTCGTCTCTGTAGACGTTGTCTCCAACTGTCGCTCTGGCAGTCTCGATTAACGCCCTGACTCTCCTCCATCGAGTAATATGCTAATGGTGATGGTCTGACTCTGAGAATGCTCTCTATCTCCGCCGCTGTGTTGCGGCCGGAGCATCAGCTCATCCCGGAACTGTCTCTTTCGCTCGCCTCCTCTCTGAATGTGCCCGGTGGCGCGGCGGCGATGGACGAGATCGCGCGCGCGCGCTCCCAGGTGGTGGACGGTCCGCTCCCGCCTCTGAGTCGCCACCCGAGCCTCGATGTTGTTGGCGCCATCGGCCTTGCCCTTCCCGATGGGTACGCGGATGCCGACTGTCGGATACGGCCCAGTGTGTGGCAGCTTCAGTCGTGTCTAGACCGGTGCGCACGGGGCGTGTGACCAGGGCAGTCCCGGGCTCTCGTGAGCCGGTGACACACCGCCCGCCGCCGGCCTGCACCTGCCCCCGCGCGCAGTCACTGGCGCCTGCACCTGGCCGCCCTGCGGCGTCCCGCCATAGCGACGAGCGGCCGGGCCAAATTAATTAAGCTTACGTCGCCGGTACAGCGCCGTCTGTCCGGCCACGAGCGGCGCGTTTCGCCGTGCGACGGTGGCGGCGGTGGCTGGAAACGCGCCGCCGGCCGTCGGCGGGCGCCATCCCCCAGCTGGCCGAGCCGCTGACAATGTGTCGGGCGGCTGTCGGTAGATGTCTTGATCAGGACCAGCTGATCCCGGTTGATAACCCGCTCTGGTGCCGCAACTCGGAGTTGGGCACGGCGCTGAACGCCATCGAGTGCTGCCGCGGCGCCGACTTCTGTAACTCGCGCCTGCGGCTCACCCTGCCGTCGGCCGGCCCAGGTGAGTCGGCCGCTCCGCGGGCCGCGCGTGCCGTGCCGCCCCGCCTAACCGCGCGACACCGCCTCCGCCCCTGCCCGCCCCGCTGTCTCCCTGTCTGTCCGTCTGTCACTAACACTAACCCAGCGGGCCGCCCGCGCTGGCTGCGCCGGCCGCGCGCCCCTGCGGACCAGGACGCCGCGACGCTACCGCCGCCTGCCGGCGACCGCTGCCACCATTAACGCCGCCCGTGCCGCTAGGTGCCTGCCCCGGCAGTTGTTATCGCCGCCGGACAACCCGCTGGTGTGCCACGGCATCAGCGCTAACAATAGGACGTACGCGAGCGCGTGCTGCAGTGACAGCGACCACTGCAACGTTCGCCTGGGGCCGCAGCTGGACGTGTCGCCGCTGCCAGGTGGGTAGCGCCCCGCCCAGCGCACGCGGCGCCGCACGCTGTCTTTCTCTCTTTTCGTCTCGGGCTGGCACGTGCACACTGCCGGATCGCCGCCTCGCGCCGCTGGACGAGCACGGGCTGGCGCACCGTCGAAGGGAACGCGCCCGCCCTCACATTCTATGTCTGTCTGTCTGTTGACTGTCTGACTGTCTGACTGGTTGGCTGGCTGGCTGGCTGGCTGGCTGGCTGGCTGGCTGGCTGGCTGGCTGGCCATGCGTCCCGCTGGCTGCCGGCCTGCGACCAAGGAATCTGAGCGTCACCAGTTCAATAGAATGAAACTCGAGACCAGCGTACTCCTTATTCGCTCCGTGTGGGCACACACAGCGTAAACGGATCAACTTCCGACACATCCGTCTCACGAACCCCGCACGGGTCGACCGCAGCAGTAGAACTGCCCCAATCCTGGCCGGGGAGCTCACACGTCGCGTCTGCAAGTGCGCCAGTTCGTAGCGTTCGTCTTGAGGTGCAGCCGTGCACCGGAGGTGGTCGATGGCAGACGGTGACGGGACGCTACTCGGTTGTCGCCATTCGTGGACGCCGGAGCGCGGTGGCAAAGTGCTCGCCGGCTGACCGTGAGGCCGTGTGTGCCATGCCAGTCGCTGGCCGTGCTGCGGCCGCTCCACCGCTGTAGGAAATTGTCCTTTTTATTAGATAGCCTGGGTCCGTCTACCGTAACATGGACAAGAAAGACAACGGGTATTCCCGATTTATTTTTCTCCATTTGGTACTGCCCCCAGTAAAATTAACAATAGCAAGTAAGGAACTGCAATCATTACAGCCAATGTTTAACCTTCGCCCTCAGGGAAAAGCCTCAGAGCCCCCATAGTCCAAGGGTTTTCCAAAATGTCTTCTGAACGAAGCAGAGTTCGGTGCCGAAATTTTGATCGCCTGAGTTTTCATCATTTTTACAGATTTTGCGAAGATATTAAGCTGTCACACCTGTCACAGTTCTCCGACACCAATGTTCAGACACGTTATTATTGTTATTGCGGACCTTGGCGAAATCCAGCGAGTGGCTATTCTAACCCCGCGTCAGTACATACTACCTAGATAAATCAGAACGCGCAACACATGCAAATGAGACGCAACGCCAGCAATACACATTTGCTGTTATAAAACATGGGCGACTTTTGGCAAAATCAGCACCTGCACGTCATGGCCAGCTGGTCAATTTAGGTAAGTTCTCTGATGAAAGACATTGCTCTGCCCTTGAACTCATTTGAATTTTTGCAATGGCGCGGGGCAGCAGAGAGGCGATTCCACGCCGCTTCGGCTCAGTGGGAGATGCCCTTTTCACGCACTCTAAGCGAGGGTGTTTTTTTAGCGCTCGTCTGCAGTACAGTTTCGTCATGGGTGGTCCTGGCGTGCCGCTAGATACTCAGATCGGCGCCTGATCAGATCACTGATAGCCTATGGCCCATCAGGCACGTAAATGGCGCGATGCAAACACGGGCAGTCGCGGTGGGTGACAGTCTCATCGAATTGGGCCAATTTAGCTGTTTTCGGGATTCCGCGATGCGGTCTCGTCCGCGTCTTTCTAACGCAGTTTGACGAGAGCTTTCCATTGTCGATCTCCGCGTGACTAGGTTGTTTATTTTTCGAGATATGGTGGAGCTTTCGAGGCCCCTGTCCTAGGATGGAGATGAATGGGTCCCCATGAACGGGGTTTTAGATCACTGGGACGTCAACCTGACAGATCGGTTAAAAAAATTGAAGTACCAACAATCTCCCGATATTCCTGTTCTGAACTCTTCCCTGCTCAAAGGAGGGACACTGTCATGAAAAGGAATATCCCGCATTTGAGTATGTTAACACGCGCACGGGTGACCGCTTTAACACCGTTGGATGAGGTGGGGGTCAATTTGACCCCCTGAGATCTCGGAAGCTTAGATATTCAGGGACACCAAATTCACAGGGCGCGTTGGCCTTTTGTGTAACTCAATGATGTCAAAATTTGAGGTTTTTAGGTCATGACCTTGGGGTCAAAGTAATGTCAATGTCAAATCCCTGGTTGATATCCAAGTGCCCTCGACCTTATGCAAGCGTCCTGAACCTAGGTAGGTACCTATTCTGAGCCAAAGGTCATTGGTATTCATCTACAGTTGGCGGCGTTATTTGACCTTAAGGAGGTCAAGGCGACGAAAAACTACGAGAATGCTGCTGTTTGTGATTTAATCTGACCTGAAAAGAATCCATGGAACGTAGCGGTTGCGGCACCTGTTGTTAATGAATTCGAAATGAACATCAAAAACCGGCCGTTCAAGCACGATGTAGAGCAAAAAGTAGATTAATTTTGACCTCGGTCTGACCTTTGTGCCTGAACCTAGGTAAATTGAATCTGTTGTCAGGTATGAATGGTTTCATCTAACACTCTGTTGTCGCATCAGATCGAGCGATTCCCGATAAATGGCCTTCGCTGATAGCAACGATCTCACTTGAACCGTCATAGGGCAGCGACCCTGCAAGGTATATCCAATATTTAATGAAAAAAATATTCGGTATGCAATTGTCTGCAGTCTTCGGAACTCATTTTGGAAAAACTTCCGGGGGATAAATTGGCTACCCGACCGCGTGTTAAGCTAAACATCAAGTATGATGAAATGTTTTTGTAACCATTGGTTTCCCTCTGGGTGTTCTAGACAACAAAAAGCAAGACGGCTTTAGGCAACAAAATTTCAGTATTAAGTAAATGTGTCGTTCGATACTTCATCGTTTCATTACGTCATGGAACGACTAAATGGCGGTGAGTCGCAGCCAGACTAACCCGTGTCAGAATTGCCACTGTGGCGGGCGGGCTGACTCACTGAAAGTCCTTCAACTTGCGAAGAGGTGGCGGGGTGTTTCTGATGTGTGTTTTCGGAACCGGATATCGTCATGTACTCGTTGTCTGGCCTTTTCTCGTGGAGTTCTTGTATGTTTTCCGTGATTTTATATTTTTACTCACATTCACATGTTTGGTTGTGACGCTATTCTCAGCTTTTTCCATTTCCGGTCTTGTTTCCGTCATAATTCGACGATTGTCCGATTTTCTGTATTATGCACTTGTCATAAGTCGTGGTTTATGTGTGCCTTGGCTGACCTAGGAATAGTCTACACGAAAAAGTTGCTCAACTTAGTACGCATCAGGCCCAAAAACCAGAGGGCAGGGTTGTGAGCGCTTACAGAGGGAAATATTTTGAACTGCATTAAGTGGTTTTCAAAATGACTGTCAGTTTAAAACCGCATGGAAATATGTACCACTCCGTTTGATTTCGACGCCTCCAAGTTCATCGACTAGGAAAATCCTTGGAAGCTTATATCACACCGTGAGCAAATGGTTTGATTCTCGATGTGCCATCTAACCGTCCATTCAATGTGTGGCCGAACGTGGTGTTAAAAAGTAGTTGAAAACTGTGTTTACAGACAGGACTTTAAGTCTAGCATTAAATGTGAGCAATTAAAGGACTCGATATGTCCCAAGCATGTTCCCTGAAATACCAACTTGCAAAAGCCAAAATGTTGAGCTGCCAGTCTGTCCAAAGGCCATTAGCTCCGCCACATTTTCAAAGATAATATGGCTGGCGTAGATTTCCTGTGCCGGGAGTGGAACCTCAGGCCTTGTAATCCTGGCCATCTTTCTATTGTATAGGCTTAGCGTGTGCGTATAGCCATGGCGGGTCGTGTCAGTAGGCTATGTACATTTGTGGCCTTCGACGGTCGCGGCTCCAGGTTTGTGTGTTTATGTGTGTGCGTATGTTTGTATCCCTTGTGGAAGGCGTCCGTCGGGTACGCGCGTTCGTCTGCGGCCGCGGTCCACCCTGCCGGCAGCGTTTATGCCCAGCCATGGCCCTTTCTGGTCGTATCTGTCGGGTGCGCTATCACGTGATTGTGCCTGTAGCTGGCTGTTATCTGGGAGCAGTGTGTTGTGTCTGTAGCCATGGTATGTTTCGTCCGTACTCTGTGGCCTGGCCGGGCTGCATCTGGGCGTGATATCAGCTAGGATCGGGCCGTGTCTAGGCAATATCAGCAACGTGTATAGCCATTATCAGCCGTGACCGGGTTGCATCTGGACGTGATATCAGCCGTGGCCGGGCCGCGTCTGGACGTGACGTCAGCCGTGGCCGGACCACGTCTGGACGTGGCATGAGTGTTGGTCGGGCCGCGTCTGGACGTGATATCAGCCGTGGCCGGGCCGCGTATGGACGTGATATCAGCCGTGGCCGGGCCGCGTCTGGATGTGATATCAGCCGTGGCCGGGCAGCGCTTGGACGTGATATCAGCCGTGGCCGGGCCGCGTCTGGACATGACGTCAGCCGTGGCCGGGCCGTGTCTGGACGTGCTATCAGCTGTGGCCGGCCGTGTCTGGACGTGATATCAGCTGTGGCCGGCCGTGTCTGGATGTGATATCAGCCGTGGCCGGGCCGCGTCTGGACGTGATGTCAGCCGTCGCCGGACCACGTTTGGACTTGGAATCAATCGTGGCCGGGCCGCGTCTGGACGTGATATCACCTGTGGCCGGCCGTGTCTGCAGGCGAATTCGGCGGTGGCCGGCCGTGACCGCACGTGTCTGTCTGTACCCGCGACCGGCGGCGTCTGCGGTTTGGGCGGGTGTCGGTCGGCGGCCGCTGTGCCGCGGTCTGTCGTCACGTGTGGGCGCCCGCGGCCGCAGCGGCCGCCGGCCCGTTGCGTCGCCTCGCCGGCCGGTCAGACGCGGCGGCCGCCAGACGGAGCGCGCCGCCCGGCGACCCGGCTGGCGCCGCCGCTGCGCCGGCCGCCCACTCTCTCACGCTGAGCGGGCTGATAATGGCCGGCCGGGTGTTCCGGGCCGACCACCGATGGCTTTCCGGCACGCGCGGTCGGGTTTGATGGCACCGGCTGGAATGTTCCAGAAATGGCCTCTTCGTTGGCGCTTCGTTGGCCTCCTCGGAAGTGATTGTTTTGGGTGAGAACCCCAGTTGAATGGCTTAATTCCCTGTATTGGGTGACTTCAAGGCGAAAGGATTTGGTTTTAGCTGCGGCGTTCGCTCATCCAGCAAGGGTCGCTGTCGGAGTGTAAACATGCTTATGTGAGTCTGCTGCCGCCGTACTCGATCCGCTCCGATCCAAGACCGCTTGACATGATCCGATTGGTCCGATCCCGCCTGAGCCGGGCTCTGTGCAAGACCGCGTCCGGTCAACCGCTGTTCGAAGCTTCACCCAGCTGTCGGCAGCGGCCGGCCGCGTCGCACCAGAACTGCACAGCCTCATTTCCAGGGCACGCTCATGACCGCCAGCTGTTTGTGATGATGTCCGAAGCAGATAGACTGCACATTGTCGTCATCACTCACGGGCTCCATTTCCTCCGGCACAATAGCGCGGGCGCCGCGCGTCACGCCGTCGCCCACGACCTGATGGCTCCGTCGGGGGGCGGTGGCCAGGCCGATCTGTGCTCTCTGTTGTGGCTGCTCTGCCGCCTAGCGGCTGGGCTTTGACCGCAGACTTGTCACTGCGAGCGCGCAGACGCAGTTCCCACGTACTGAATGCGCATCGCGGCCGTGCGCTCTGTGGAGGACGGCGTTGGGAGCCAGGTCAGCGCTGGGCTGAGGTTCGCTAAACGCACGGCTTGCGCCAGTCGTCGGGCGCCGCCGTTTGGAATCTAATTCTGTTTCAGGCGCTGGGCGAAGTCGTTCAGCGGCTTCTGAAGTTCACACATCACATTGTTTGTGTTGGTCGTGACCCTCCGGATGCCGGGCTGGTTCTGCGAAAGTGCTGCCTTTTCCCGGAGTCGAGCCCGGACGAATCGAACCCGAACCGGACTCGACGCTGGCGTTGAGGACACGCGCGTCGCGCAGGCTTTGATGCTCAGGAGCCAGGCTCTCCGCGGAATGGGCAGACCAAACCGATTAACACAGCTTACGGCTGTCGTGCCAGACAGAGCAACGCGATGCGGTCGCGTTTTCCGCAATTGGATTAGCGTGCTGCTGATGCAATACGTCCGAGCTATGTTCGTTTGAAGTTTCGCACGTCCTCGCTGCACAGTATGCCACTTGGAAGGAAGGCTGGCAGGAGATGCACAACTGGTCTGCGGTTGTGCGCGGCCTTTGTTCGACGGAGGCTAACTAGTCGATGCTCGCCGAGGACGTCAGTCTAGTTCGTGTCCAGGTGCCGCGGGCGAGCCTTAGATCCAGACGTGCCGTGGGATCAAGGACAGTGATCAAGTCATCAGTCGTTAATGGTGAAGCAAGGCGTGCTGCCCCCCCTACTCAGAGCCGGGGCGGATGCACGGTTTATTTTCTCGCCGCTCCCCATCTCTTCGGCACAATTGCTTTATGTGAAATTGTTATGAGCCTGCCCCCATAAACTATAAGCCAATGGGCTAAAAGCCAATAAAGCCTATGTATTCGTGGTGCACAGCCGCACGGACGCCCTGGGCGAGCGCTGGCCTGGCGCGGCGGTAACGCGGCGAGACCGGCCCATCGGGCGCCCGTGACCGGGGGCGGTGTCGCGCGGTTCTCCTCGGCTGCCGCCTGCACCCCGGTCCGCGCGGCGGCGGCGGCGGCCGGCGGGTCGGGCTGCCGCCGTCCTTGGCAGTGCGGCCGCGCGGCGCGCCGGCCGGCGTGGCCGGGGGCAGCGCCGCCGCCGCCGCCGCTAACGGCCCGGCTGTATGGGCCGCTTCCTGCGCCGCCGCAGCCGCCGCCCGTCTGCTCGGCACCGCGCCGCGCCCCGGCCCGACCCGGTCCGGTCCGCGTGGCGGCTACAGGGCCGCCGCCGCCGGGCAGACTGGGCCCCCGCACACCGCTGCCCTGGCATGCCGCATGTGCCCCGCTTGTTAGCGATTGCGAGCCGGCGAGCCGTGCGCTTCTGGCGGCGGCCTCTGTGGCTGTGGCTGGCCTGAGCTGGCCGGGCCGGGCTGGGCTGGGCTGGGCTCGCTCCCGAAACACGGCTGACGTCACGGGGCGCACGTGTGGGCGGCGCTCGGCTGCTGTTTATGCTCGCTGCACGGCCGGCGCCGGCTGCCAGCGCCGGCCCCCGGAGGCGGCCTCCGTCCGGGCGTCCGGCCGCCTGAGGCCAGGGGCGCGGCCGTCCGTGCTGCGGTCAGACGCGGCGGCCGGACTGCGCCGGCGATCAGGCCGCGCCCTCCGCGGCTCACCGGCGGCGCCGTCCCGTACCCAGACGGGACCGCAGCGCCGCGGCGGCGGCGGTCAGACAGACTCGGATGCCGCGACGGATCTTCGGGGGCTTAACGTTCTGGCGCGGCAGGTGGTCCTGTTATTACCTCGATTCCGACGAATTGGAGAGCGGCATACCCACGTGTGCGGTGGCTGGAACGCCACGCCGTCTGCTCGTGGTGCCTAGCGTGTGCTTGCTTGTAACGCATTGAATGCATCGCAGTGTGTTGCGCTAGGGCCCCGCCTGTACTGACTCCTTCTCCCCCGTCCCCACGCTGCCGAGCGCCTAATTGTGTGATGACATCTGGCCGTCTGATGTGAGACGGCCACCGGTGCCTTGCTCTGTCTCGCTAGTGATTGCCGGTCAGCAGATTCTGACCTGACCCCAATGACCCGTGTCTGACCGGATCGGGTGACCCGCGCCAGACCTGACTTGCATCTGATCTGATCTCCGTATGACCTGACACGTTTCGGACCTTATCTGTGCCTGACCTGATGTGACGCAGGTCAGGTCAGACACGCTGCGTCTGACCTGACCTCCTTATGGCCTGATTTTATTATGACCTTACCCGTGTCTGACCTGGCCTGCGTCTGACCTGATCCGTATCTGATAATACCAGCAGGTGATTTGACGTGCATCTGACCTGACTTACATCTGACCTGATCCACGTCTGCTTTGACCTGTGTCTGATTTGACCTGCATTTGACCGGACCTACGTTTGATTTGACACGTGTCTAGCCTGACCTGCTTCCAGCCTGACTTGCGCGTGACCTGACCCGCGCCTGACCCCAGCCGTGCTCCGCGTGTGAGCTGGCCAGCGTATCCCGGACCCGTGACCGGCGCGTGACCTGACCGCGCCGCCGACGCCTGCCGGCAGAGCCGCCGCCGCTGTCGGGCTGGCTGGACCGCAGCCGGATCCTGTTCCTGCGCATCACGCTGCCGGTGGTGTTCGTCATCCTGCTGCTGCTGGTCGTCATCTGGACCTACATGAAGATGACGGCCCCGCGCTCCGGCGGCGACCTCCAGGGGCGCGGCCCCTCCGGCTGCATCGAGGTCGGTGTCGTCGCCGCCCAGCCGCGGCGTGTGCTGGGGACGTGCCGCGGACGTGACGCTCGCCGGGGTCCCGGGCCGCGTACGGGCGAGCCGTGCGGCCGTGTGGCGGCGCGGCCGGCCGGTGTCCGTGGCCGGGCCGGCGGTCTGTGCAGTTCGGCGGCTCCGTCGTGAAATCCGAGGCGGAGCGCATGAGAAAATCAGGGGCGCCGCCGCGCCACACGTCAGCGAATCGCCGCCGCGCAATGGCCGTAACTGCCCGGATCCACGCCACCTCGGCGCGGGCGCCGCGCTGTCGCCTTTCCCACCAATCCTGCTGTTCTCCGTGGCGGCGATGTGGCTACATGCGGCGGGGGGGGGGGGGGGGGGGGCGCACGACGCCCGACGCTGCGGCCGGCTGCACGGCACTGGCCGCCGCCGCCGCCGTCACCGCCGTCCGGGCGCGTCCGCCTGTGCGCACGCCGTTCGGTTGCAAACGGCGCCCGACGACCGAGCCCGGCTAATGAATAGGCAATGGCGTGGCCGGCCTGCCGGCTACCGTGCGGCGCGGCCGGCCGGCGGGGCGTCCGGCGGTCACGGCCGGCGCCGGCCGCGGAGGCCTGCCGCTGCTGCTGCCAGCCACGGGGGTACCGCGGTGCACGGCGGCGGCCGGGGTGGGCGGACCGGGTGTGAGGTCCGCTGCCAGGTGGCGACGGAGTCCGACCGGAGGCGTGCGGGCGTTCGAGGGTCAAAGCCTGGTGTCGGACGGCCAGGAGTCAAAGTCAGGGCCCGTTCTTCATGATTAAACGCCCTCAATTGAGGCAGTAACCTGTGGCGCCGCGGGCTGCTCGACGCGCATAAGTGTCGACATGTGTTGGCTGTTTCCTGGCATTGACGTAGAAGCAACTGCGGCTTACCGCACCTGCTTGGCCTTTCGGCCAGGTAAGGAATGGCTTCAGGAGTGACGTCACATACAAGTCAGGTAACTGCGTCACACGTGGTGTGGGCTCACTGTAAGCAGTGAATGGCTTCCACTTGCCATTGAGCAGCGGGACCGAGGTGTCGGGTGTTCAGGAGTCCAGGGCTGATGGTTAGCAGTCTGGTATTTGAACCCGGCATCACGGAGCGGGGATGAGACAGCGTCACGGAGCCGGGGACGGGACACAGCGTCACGGAGCCGGGGATGAGCCCGACGTCACGGAGCGGGGATGAGACACAGCGCCACGGAGCCGGGGATGAGACACAGCGTCACGGAGCCGGGGATGGGCACAGCGTCACGGAGCCGGGAACGAGACACAGCGTCACGGAGCCGGGGACGAGACAGCGTCACGGAGGCGGGGACGGGCACAGCGTCACGGAGCCGGGGATGAGACACAGCGTCACGGAGCCGGGGACGAGACAGCGTCACGGAGCCGGGGACGGACACAGCGTCACGGAGCTGGGGACGAGACACACCGACGAGCCGTCAGTGAGCTCAACACACCGCTGCCAGGTCACAGACCCGGACGCGACGTCGGGGTCGGGTCGGGGCTGTCGGCTGGCGGTGGCTCTCTGCGCAGGGGCGGGCCGTGTAAGCCCTCTGAGCTGGCGTGGGCCGAGCCAGGCCGGGTCGACTCTGCCTGCCGCCGCCGAATACGGCCAGCGGAACCGGGCAGGGCTCGCCGGCGGATTTATAGGCCCAGAGCCCCGGCCCGGCCGAGTCCCTCGTGCCAGCGATAGCATCGGCATATAGATACGGCCGGGCTGCCGGCGCGAGGCCACCGGCCAGCGCGCGCGCGCCCATGTGGGTACTGCGTCGTACACCTTGGCGGCGACGCCTCAGCCGCCGTCCCGGTGCACCGCCAACGGCCGTCCCCGCCTGCTGGGGAAGGAGCTGCCCTCTCGGCAGTGAGGCCCCCTCCCCCTGGTGACTGTACGAGCCGAAGCGTGCGCCGCGCTCGGAGTGTTTGCGGTCTGTCTTCCCTGTCTGTCTCTTTGTTCACGTCTGTGAGTGACCCAGGGGTGAGCTGGTCTCCGATGCTGCCTCGCTGGTAAGCAGCTGAGCGCGGCAGCTCCAGCGGTGTGACTCAGGGGTACGCTCGGCTCCCTGTCTGCTGTCCGCTGCTCTTGTGTGTTCCTTGTCGGCTCGGACTGGGTGGGAGCCGGCCGGGTGCGCTGACCGCGGCGACTCAGTGTCACCTGCTGCGCTGCTCGCTCTCTCTCTCTCTCTCTCTCTCTCTCTCTCTCTCTCTCTCTCTCTCTCTCCTCTCTCTCTCTCTCTCTCTCTCTCTCTCTCTCTCCTCTCTCTCTCGTCGCTCTCTCTCTCGTATCTCTCTCTCTCTCTCTCTCTTCTCATCTCTCTCTCTCTCTCACACTCTCTCTCCTCTCTCTCTTCTCGCTATTCTCTCTCTCTCTCTCTCTCTCTCGGCTGAGGCCTCTCTCTCTCTCTACTCTGTCTCCTCGCGTCTCTCTCTTCTCTACTCCCTCCTCTTCTCTCTCTCTCTCTCTCTTCCCGTGCAGGATGTAGGGGAGGGTGAGGTCTGTATGAACACGCTTCGTTTGCTGGTGGATCGGCTCTCCCTGAGTCTGGCTGAGGCGACGGCGCTTGCTGCGGCTGTGCTGTGACCGCAGCCGTGCCAGTGACCTGCAGCCTGTCGGTGTGACGCCACAAAGCCGTCCCGTCGGCAGGTGGGCCGGCGGGACGGGCCCGGTGACGTCAGTGGTCACCTGTCGGCTCGCGTCTCTCAGCTGGCCGTTGGGCTCCGCCAGTCGGCCGCCGCGTGACCCCCGGCCTCCCTCCGGCAGTGCTGCACGCGCAAGAAGCGTTCCAAGCGGCCGCCGTTCGACGACATCGGCGAGCGGCTGCTGGAGGCGTCCGAGTGCGGCCAGCTGGGCGGCACCGGCGCCAACCTCAAGACGCTGATGGAGGCGAGCACGTCCGGCTCGGGCTCGGGCCTGCCGCTGCTCGTGCAGCGCTCGGTGGCGCGCCAGGTGACGCTCGACCAGAGCGTCGGCAAGGGACGCTACGGCGACGTGTGGCGCGGCCGCTGGCACGGCGAGGACGTGGCCGTCAAGGTGAGGCGACACCCGGCGTCGGGCGCGCGGCGCTCTCCGCCCCGCCGCCGGCAGCCGCGCCGGGACGGCGGCGGCGGCGGCGGGGGCGCCGACCTGCAGATGTCGATCGAAGTCGGCGGCGGCCGGCCGCGGTCCCATCGATAAGGCGGCCGGGACTGTGTCGGTGGTTTATGAGACGGCCCGGCGATTCGCGTGTACTTTGCGCGCCGCGGAAGAGGCGGATTTATTTGTGGATTGCGCCGTTGCGCGACGGTGTCGGTGCGACGCGGCGCGGCGTTTGCGTTGTGGCGGCCGTTCTTTCCGAACTTATTCTGTAATCGGGCACGCAGCCGGGTAGATGGCGAGTTGCCGTTGGATCTCTGGTATTGCGGGCAGAACCGCCTCAGGCACGGTTGCCAGGAGCGTTTTTAAAGCTTGTTGCTGGCGACTGTTGTCGCTGATCGTCACTGATTGTGTCGTGCAGCCGTGACGCCTGGCCGCGGTGTTGAGGCCGTCGGCGGCCAGCCCTGGCCGGCTGCACAGCTCTCGGCGCCAGTGCCCGGCCCTGACCGGGCGTGCGGGGCGGCGCGGTGCCCGCCCCTCGGGCCGCCGTCCCCTGTGCCGCGCCGGTGACGTCAGCCCGGCGCGGCCGGCGCCGCTCGGTCGCCACCTGTTGGTCGGACGTGGCGCGGCGGCTCGGTCAGCGGCGCGGCCGGCCAACGGTGGCCACTGCAACCGGAGGCGGACGGAGCCGTCGCGGCCGGCCGGTCGCCGGCTCCGCTCAGGGAACTGACAGCCGGCGGCAGGGCGCATTGAGACGTCGGGCGTCTGTCGTCGTCGCGAGCCGGTCGCGAGGCGGCTCTGCTGGCTTCTGGGGGGACGGGACGGTATCTTTTGGGTCGTGTTGCGACGGGTGCTCTGCCACGCGGTAGCGCTCCGGAGGGTTGCATCATCCCAGCGACGCTGGTTCCCGGGACGGCGATACGGGGTGATGCTGACGCATTGGCCAAGTCGATTCTAACCGCTCACCGGCTGTGCGATTCTAACGGCGTTCTAAGTTATAGTTAGCAGGCTTGTGACCGGCGTTCCCTTCCCTCCACTCCCGCCTCCGTACATACCATCGGCCAGTGGTCATATATGGCGATCGCGGCTGCTTTGCGAAAGGTCATGGGAGTGGCGTGATCTGTAAGGCCGTGTACGTGATGGGGCCGGCCATGCCCGCCTCGTGCAATTCACCCGGCACGAGATGTTCTGTGGCCTCAGATCCGGGCGGCGATGCGGCCGGTGCGTCCCATAACTGCGTTGTTGTAGTCTGCTGACCGTGATCAATGGGAACGGGATGCGGCCAGCGCGAGGGCGGCCGACTTCCTCGGAATTATGCCCCCGCTGCCGTGTCATGATCTGTCTGCAGTGTATCGTTTGTTTGCCTTCGAGGACTGCAGACACGGCGGCGGACACGTATCGAGTGCTGGCACGTGACAAGGCGACCATGTTTCCATGCTTGCGAAAGGCGCTTGTCACGGATGGCGCTGTCGGGCTCGGCTGAAATGTTGATGGCGTGCAAAGGTCCGGTACATCGCGTGAGCCAGTGCTGGGACACGCATCCATTTTACGGTGTTGGCGATGTTGCGGTGGTGGCGCAATGCGACGTTTTACGTTGTAGTGTCGGCGGGCCTCAGAGCTGCTGCTTTAGCACTACCTAGGCCCATCTGGTGGTTGACGCGCCATCTGCCCCCCCCCCCCCCCTCTCCCCCAGTGTCGGCCCCGGCCTGGCATATGTGTCTGAGCGCCCCGTGCCGCCGTCGCGTGGTGTGACCCCCGCCCCGCCGCCGGCAGATATTCTCGACGCGCGACGAGCGCTCGTGGTTCCGCGAGGTGGAGATCTACCAGACCGTGATGCTCCGACACGAGAATATTCTGGGATTCATCGCCGCCGACAACAAGGGTGAGTCGGCCACCGCACGCCACGGCTGCGGCAGCGGCGCCCAAAGCGTCTGCAGCGTCCCGTCTGAGGCAACACACGTGCAGCGCTGCAGCAGTGTGGCGATATTCGGCCACTCGGGTGGTAGGGATGGAGACAGTGGCTCATGTTATCGCACCCCGGGCTCTGTGATCACCGCCTGTTGCTCCTCCCCTCGTTCATGATCGGCATCCAGCCACACGGCCGCCAGCCCAGCATTTAGGGGCATCGGGCCTGGCGAATCGGCCGGACAGGCCAGCTGGTTGGGGGTCAGTGGGCAAGGCATCAGCAGCCACCGAAATGTGCGTGAGGAGATCGTGGGAGAGTAGAAGTCAGGTGGCGTAAATTTATATTTGCAGTCCTGCACACCCACTGGATGAGTTTTGGAACGCTGCTGTGCTACATGGGTGGTTTAAAAAAGCTATTTAGAAGACGGCCAGCCAAGGACTTTCCCGTTACTTTATTTGGAGAAGAATAGTAAATATTTCGTGTTAGTGTCTCGAAACTCCTTGAAGCGTCGACCGCTTCAAGGAAACCATCTTCACCCTAAATGGCGTTAAAGTCTCATTTGAAACCAAGGCGGGACAGGAAACTAACACTACTTCTTCCTTGTTACACATGTTACGTTTGGAGCGGTCCGACGACAGTGCTTATTGGTGTGTATGGCGTTTGTGCTCATCCGTGCGTTCTTGGGTGTAAGTGCGTGCGTGTATGTGTGTCTGTGGGTCTAGATAAGGATCCTGTGTCACCATTCTCTTGCACTTTCAAAGTTGGACCCCCTCAGGGCCATGCCATAGCATGTCTTCATGGCTTGTTTGACATCTACGGCAGCAGATCTCTCACAATATAAGGTGGTAAAAAAAACTTCAGATATGCAGGGAAAGGGCCTTTTCAGCATCCAAGGGACGAAAAAACTGATGACGATGAGTTCGTGATAAACAAGTACACATTTTAACTGTCCTTGTCGCGGGCCTTCCATTGCAACCGCTCCAAGACCAATGTCTGTGGCGCTGTCTCGCAAATTTCCTTGTCTACCACTTGCAACGGGCTGCAGCTGCCACCATTATGTTCCCACTACCAAGGGAACGGTGCGCACTCGGCCCGAGTCGGAACTGAGGCTCCTCCGCCGCCCGTCAAATGTGACCGGGGCTCAGGTTTCACCCAGCAGGAAGCACTTACGAACCGTTGCCCTTTTCAAAGGTGTGCTGGTGGTTATAACGAGCGTCTGGCAATCATATCCGCGAAGGTGTACGGCATACACCACGACGTGCATCATCTCAGATACACGGCGGCGTACAACGTTGTGGATATGGACGCCGTGTTTATTAAAGCTGCGATCGCGCTTCTCTGAAGCAAAGCCGTTTAGAAGCTCTCCTTGCTGGGTATGCGGTTGAGTGCCGGTTAAATCTGACAGGTGGCCGATGAGCTGCAGGTCCACCTGTCATCGGGTGCAGTTCGATCTCCTTGTGGTCGGGGCGGGATCGTTGCAGCTGCAGCTTATTGCAAGAAGTAAGCAAGTGGACTTCTCTGAACCGTTTTAGGCATTGGTCTTGGATGTTAAACTGATCAAATGAAAAACGAGTAGAGAATTGGTCGTCACCATCAGGCTATGACCCCGAGCTTTCCAATCTCGAGATCTTGAATGCGCACCTCCCCTGAGCATTTGAGGTTTTATCCCTGGCCTTGTAGTGCAGGAATTATGTTCCTATGTTTCTGAAGCAAACTATGAAGACCTCACAGGATATGGACGGGAGGAATCCCTGCCTTCCCAACTGCGCGGCCTTGATTTAAACACACGGGCATACACGCGCGCGCGTAGTAAGCGGACGCACACGCACTCGCGCGTACACACGCAGAACCGCTAATTATTGCTGCCAGAAGACCGTTCCAGCCGCAAGCTCAGTTACAGTAAAGCAGTAATATTTGCGCCCTGCTTAGTGGTATGCATTGCTGTCACAAAAGAGACTTATGCGGTAAACGGCGTGAAGACGGCTTTATTGAAAAGACTTGGGTGTCATGGGTTTTGCAGATAGCGATCGGAAATATTCACGATTGTTCATAACATGACATAGGAGCGGGAATAACCCTTTACTTGTCATTTCCTAATCTAATCACCTAATCTAAACCATCACCTTATCCATCTCCATTTTTGAAAGTCGCTAGTGTGCAGCATTTGGTGTACCCTCGGCAGACACTAAAGTAGTGGTAGCATGTGCGTCCTGCACGTTTGCATAAACTGCGGCGGCGTCTGCGTTGTCTGCGGCCGTGAGCAGGGGGCGACCGGCTGGCGGGCGTCGGTGAGCGCGCTCCGTCACTGTTCTCGTGGGTGGTGGTGAAAGGCCGAGGGGAGGGGTTTGGACACGGCGCCGATAGCGTATCGTCTGGGCCGCGGACGCCGCGCTGTCGTCATCGCGCCGCCGCGCGGGGCGTCGCACCGCAGCGGCCGGACTCGAGTCTCCTGACTCCAGACTCCAGACTCGGTCGGTATCAGCAGTCAGCCGGCGGCCCCGGTATGGTGCCGGGCTCTAGTCTCCAGACTCCAGACTCGTTCGGTATCAGCAGTCAGTCCGGCGGCCCCGGTATGGTGCCGGACTCGAGTCTCCAGACCCCAGACTAGACTCCAGACTCCATGCTCCAGACTCGGGTCGGCGTCAGCAGTCAGCCCGCGGTCCCGGCGCGGTGGCGGCCAGCGTCCCGCCGCCGAGACGGCGGTCGGCTCGCACGGGTCCGGTCCGGCCCCGGGCCGTCCGTCCGTCCGGCCGGCCGGCCCGGCTTGTCGTGGACGGTGCAGTCGTATTGATTGCGCTGACACTGGAGATGAACGGCGCCGGGCCGACAGTGAGCTGCGGCGCCCGGCCCGGTCTGCCCGGCGGCACCGGGCGCCGCCGGTTCCGGGAGCGGTGCTCGCCGGCCGACAGTCACGCTTGCAGCGGCCGATTGTGGCGGGCGTCGGGCTCGAGTCCGTGCAGCCGGCGTTCGGCGGGAAGGGCGGCAGCGCCGGCTGCGTGGGGTGCTGACCGCCAGCGCAGGGCGGGCCCCGCAAACGCCTGACCACAAGTGACTGCGATACACCTATGTGAGAACTAGGCGGGGCGAAGTTCGCAATTGATACCGGTTGGGAACCGCTAGGGCGCGTGCTATTCATTGGGAACTGCATGGGGTGTTCGTGAGCTTGCGGAGTTCGTAGGCAGGGTTAGGGTATTCGCACCTTGCCTACCTTTAACCATTGAGTCATGACTTGCGTTGCACGAGACAAAAGTTTGAAAACGCACGCGTCGCTTTGTTTATTGGTGTCAAACCGTTGATTTCTCACAAAACTAAGTCCGCGATCCCGCCGGCGCGTCCTGCCCAAGACATGGCCTGGGAATACCATTCTCCCAGCTGGCGTCAAAAGTCACAGCTGTTGATTGCCGCACATGCGCCAAACCTCGAAGGAGGAGCCCCTGTTCGGAGTGGGAGGCGCCCTTTGGATGCCATCCCCAGATTGAGTCGGGATTAATTCGGGGATTCGTAAGCTTTCTGATTGGCTGTCTTTCAAGGCTCCGGACCGCAATTGGCCGAGGAGCCTTTCGTGAAGCAGGCTGGGCTGCTGTCAGGCTTTCCCGTATGGGCGAGCACTCGAGGGGCATTGCGCCGACCAACGCCGCGTCCGTGGCCGCTTTCGGTTGTGCTGGAAATGATCGTTTCCCATAGCATTGCATGGGGCGATGTCAAACTTGGTGCGACCCATTGGCGTGTGGGAAGCGCCGTTGAGAAGATATCGATTTTCGTTGCTTGTGTCTATGAAAAGAAGTGTCCCAGCTTGCCTTAAAAAGCTTACCAGCTCTAGTGCCCTATATCATAATAACCACGCTGCTGATGTGGAGATTATTGCCCTGACCACGAGGTTGTCTTTGCAAGTCGGACGGATGTACCAATGCACCGACTGTTTTGACAGATCGGTGTCATCCCGAATAAATCCAGCACCGCTTGTCATAACTTACGCATATGGCAGCCTGGGTAGCCAAGGTGGCACGACGGTATGACCAGCTGTGAGCGCTGACTGACAAATGCGCGCCGCCCGAACGGCTGCCACGGCCCCGCTCCATGTCTGCCCCTCCCCCGCCTGGCCCGGTGCCGCGTCGCTCGTCCCTGACCTGAGGTGGGCCCTACTGGCCGAGCCCAGTCAGTTGCCGGCCGACCCAGATTGCTGGGCTCAGTCAGCTGTCGGCCGGCGGCGCGTTGCCATGCGGTCGGGTGTTGCGCGCGGCGGCGGCCGAGCACCGCGTGTGTCAGACACCGGCCCTCCGACCCGAGGCTGGTCCGGACAGGCCCGCCGCCGCCCCGCTGCCACCGTCGCGCCGGCGGGGTGGCGCGGCGCGGCGCGGCCGCTCGGCTGCCGGGCCGGCGGCGCCTCTCACCGCCGCCGGCCGGGCCCGGCTGGGGCCGCCTGCTCCAGCCGGAGCCGGGCCGGCGTGCACCGATGCCGATCGATCGCGGCGCCGCCGCCGCCGCGGTCTGGCGCCCGCCCGCCTTCCGTCTCGACACGAAGCCTCGGCGTGACCGGCGGCGCCTGTCAGAAGTCTGCGCCCCGCCCCCGGCGGGCCGGCATGCGGCCGGCCGCTGGGCCGGCTGGCGCCCCGGCAACACGGCCCGGCCGGCGGCGTCGCGTGCGGTCGGGCTCCGCGCGCCAGGTTTGTTATGGCCTGCCGCCGCCGCTGGCCTGCGGCGAACTCGGTCCGCGGGCTCGTTCGACCCTTCCCGTTGTTTACTGGCGGCCGGTTTATGCCGGCGCGGCGCGGCGGCGCTGCAGCTGCTGCAGCGGCCTGTAAACACGGCACGGCGTGCCGGCACTGACCGGGGCCCCTAGCCTTCCGGCAGGCGGGCGGCTCGGTCCGGCCTCGGACAGAGAGAGGAGGAGGGGAGGGCGCTCGTCACAGCGGCGCAGCTGCAGCTCGGGCCCATGTTTGTGGCGCGCTCATGGGATGGGGCCCGGCCGGGGCCCGCTCGTAAAGCGTGGAGGGGAGACGCGGCCCGGCCCGACCCTGCCGGACCGGTCAAGGAGCCGTTCAGTGCTCATGTCATGGGGAGGGGGATGGAGTCCGGTCCGGCTGCGAGTGAGGGTATCTTTTAGAGACACAGCTGTTTCCAAAATGTCAGTCCAGCCCGCCCGCCCAGCCAGTGATCCAGCCCGCGAGAAGCCCGCTATTCTACCATGCTGATCCGCCATGAAGAATAACTAATTTATTGCAATATGCATTTCATCAATTCGCCTTAATCTTAAACCTATACTTTTAAGTGTGCATAGAATGGCATGTGTCATCTCATGCATGGCATTGTCTGGCCTACACCACTGATGTTGCTCAGAGAGCAGCGATCAAAGTACCCCTGTATAACGGAATTTATGACACACTTAAGCAGATCTCAAACACTGTGATGGCAGGATTTAACTACAGATGAGAAGGAAGAGAGCAGAAATTAAATTGACCCTTCATCAAAATGCCCCAAAGTTTTCATCCATCTACCTCATGTCAATAGATCACAGGCCATTGCGTGTAAAATTACAGGCATCAGCTGATAGCTTTGCACTGACAAGGCAAGAAATGCCGGATGTTTCAAGTCGCGGGAAGTGTCAGCTCATGGCGAGGTGCATAAGCTCAATCATCATGTAACTGCGCCATGATTGCCACAATGTCATTCTTATCATTGAAGAACCGGAACCATCCCCTGCGCGGCGTTGTCTGTCGTTCAGCGGACGCATCATGCAACGACACCACACGAAAGCCACATGGTGCCTTGGGAATGGTCCATAGTTCTCTCCACTATCCACGTCCCGGCCCGCAGCCTTCATTGTGCCGCCTGACGCGGCTTGAAAGCGAGCAAAGCAGTACTATTTTGTCCACGAATATTTGCCCCTCCAGCGACATAATTGGTATTCAGCAATGCCATCAAAAACCGTGACGTTATGTTGCATGCTGCAGAAAAATGTATATGAAAAAGTCGCAATATGATAACCAGGAACTATTGCACAGGTTTACAAAGCCTGCGGGCGGCAGCTCACTATCAGTATCGAATGCCTCATGTACGGCACACGGCGATATATATTTCTTTTCACACAACCGCATACGGATACAAACGTTGGAAAATAAGTGAACGCAGAGAGGACAAAAGCCGTCGTGAAAAAATTGTCCAAAAACCGTAGCAGTCGTAGTTGGGGAGAATCGTATTGTGTAAGTGCCCTAAAATCGTGGTCGCAAGCTGCATCTTCTTCATAGATAGACAAGACTCCACGCCCACCACTTTTTTCCATTTCGACAACTGCTGCACATTTGATACGACAGCGACTGCTGGCTACATTGAAAAGTGAGTGAAGCTAGACAGTGAAAGAGTCACAGTTTCCCATGTATTTCATGAATCATGGATATTCATTGTAAGTTGTGAGGCATGGTCTTCATGTAAGCCAAGAAAGGTTGAGGTCACCACGCCCTCGCAATAACAGTCAAGTGCAGTGTGTAGCTGTATTTATACTAAAAACCCACTTAACTGCTGCTCAATGACATCAGGGTATAGTCTTGAAGTTTGTTTATTCTTGAATTTTTCCCCTGAGATGTTTGCTTAAAGCTGTGCAATGTGTGCAACCTGGTTTTACTGGCGTGTGGTGTCTACCATGGGTTTTCTGTCACTGGTGCTTCTGCTTTAAAGAGTTAAAATATTTTTGCATCATGATTGTTGATTATTTGTGTTTGGCAGCACTCTGGTTTTGGGGTGATTTTAAAACTAGGAAAGGCAAAATACATCATTTTGCACGCTTCAATTTTTGACTCTTGAAAGCCCACCAAGTTCGGCTCGTGACCCAACCGTGACATATTGTTGCATGCTGCAGAAAATTGATATTTAGCATTTTTGGCCCGTGCGAACCTGCAGGTTCTTGCGGGCCAGAAATTAAAAACGGCTTAAATGTTGGTCGTTAGTATTTATCCTGCGTGACACGTCGGAGGGACACGGCCTGGTCTGTTGGCGGCTCCGGGGAGCGGTGGGGCTCGGTTGGGTGGCTCGAGAGGCTGCCTGCTGGTCGGCGTGGAGCTGGGCAGGCCGAGCGCGGTGCGGTTGTCCGGAACTCCGAGAAGCGTCCTCGTCCTCATCAGCAGCTCGCGATAAACTCGTTCTCGTCCTCATCAGCGCACTTTGTGAACGGCTTGCGATGAACGTGCTCCGCTCACTCCGTGACGATACTCCGTGACGATGCTGATAGTCGCGTGACACGCCGCGCCACGCCGCGTGCAGCGAAGCGAACCGAAACAGGGCGTACACCGCGGCGCGAACTCGCCACCCTGTGCCGCTGAGCCGGTCGGTTGAATGTCGAGCGGCTGCTTCCCTGTCCCGTCCCGGTCCGATCATTGTCCATGGCGCTGAACGGATGGCCTCGGCGCCGGCTCGTCTTCCTGGTAACTTGTCCAAGTGTTTCTTGCGTCCGGATGCTCCCTGGTGCTGATGTGCCAGTTTTTTATGTGTGACCCGTCGATGTTTAGTCAAATGTCGTTACCAAAGCGCTTGGACTGCACTGGGGCGATCTTCCTCTTGGGTAGCCATCAGACCTGCTGTAGCGGAACATTTTCAACCCGTCTGCAAGTCTGGAGACGTTGTTGTGTTGAGCTAACTCGATTCGATGCGCCTGGTGCAGGCGCTCAAGGGTCCGCGTTGCAAGTCGTGGTTGGTCTGATTCCGCGTGTTGCCTGCCGCTATAGGACATCCGGATGCATAGGGAAGAAGCACTTGTCATGACATGCCGTGAGATGGCTGACACTATTCGGACAGGCTACTCGTGTCACGGACTCATCACAGTATAATCGTACCATCGGAGATGCCCCATCCACTGGTGGAAACTGCTAGCAGTTCTTGGGAGCACCGATACATGTTTGAATCAATGGACATCAACACCGGGCACGTCTTAGTAACAGCGGCGTTCGCAACGTGTCGGAAACGCGACAGCCTGCTTGAGACGTGCTGTACACGGCCGGCCCCACCGGGTCGTGCTGGTTGGTCGGCCGGCCGTGCTCACCGTGCTCACCGCGTGTGCCGCAGACAACGGCACGTGGACGCAGCTGTGGCTCATCACCGACTACCACCGGCACGGCAGCCTGTTTGACTACCTGCAGCGGAGTACAGTGGACGTGCGCGGCATGTACCGGCTGGCCGTCTCCATCGTCACCGGCCTGGCCCACCTGCACATGGAGATCGTCGGCACGCAGGGTAGGTGGGCGCGCCCGCGCGGCGGCGGGCCGGGCGGCGCTCTGCCGACGTCGGGACGCTCGCCGCGGAGACCGGCGGCGCCGAGCGCGGGTGTGGATGGCGAGGAGCGCCGTTTGGGGGATCGTCCGCATGCAGGGTGTGTGACCCACGGGGAGGAGGGGGAGTGGTGTGGCTCCCCGCCATCTCCAACCATCTCCCAGTGACGGAGCTCCGAGTTGAGGCGGCCCCTCGGCCCCCGCGCGTGACTTGAGCAGCTGTGTGCCTCGAACGGGCAGATGAGGCTTTTTTGCCTTTGGATGGCGCCACCTACGCCATGCAGTGGCGCCATCTTTGCGTCAGTCCCTACATCGTACCCGTCGTAGTTAGGCTGCCGCCATCCAGGTGGCGAAGTCGTCACTGTGCTGGCCTGCCGTGGCCACAGGAATCATCGACTGTGGTTACTGCTGTTTACTGCTGACCATTGGGAGTGTGTGACAGCGGTGTGAACCCATGCTCGGATGGTGTCCGTTTCGTCCGACTGTGCCCTGAGCCAGCTGGAAGGACCCTGCGGGCCGCACCGCCTGACGTCAGCTCGTCTCGTGCAGGCAAGCCGGCCATCGCGCACCGTGACCTCAAGTCGAAGAACATCCTGGTGCGCTCGAACGGCACGTGTGCCATCGCCGACCTGGGGCTGGCCGTGCGCCACATGCCCGACGACTCGGTGGACATCGCGCCCAACAGCAGGGTCGGCACCAAGCGCTACATGGCGCCCGAGGTCAGTGGGCCGGCTGTGGCGGTGGCGGGGGGGGGGGGGGGGGGGGGCGAGCGGCGTGCTGCCGGTGTCGAGGGTGGGACGGGCGGTGAGGAGGTGAAGTACGCGCTGTCGCTGTTTGTAGAGCTGGAGTGATTTTATAGTTTTAGGTGGTCAGACTGGTTTAAGTAGATGTATCGCCTGTGTTTTTCCCGCCGTGTGTCAGTTGCGCCCGCTCGTTTTACGACGCCGCCGTGTTAACACGAGGTGCCGGTGGCTCCCCCGCCTCGGGCCGTGCTCCCCGCCTTGCTATGACCCGCACCTCACCCGACCTCTGCTCGTCAGGTGCTGGACGAGAGCATCAACACGCACCAGTTCGAGTCGTTCAAGCGCGCCGACGTGTACGCTCTGGGCCTGGTGCTCTGGGAGATAGCGCGCCGCTGTACGGCCGGCGGCGCCTGCGAGTACGTGCCGCCCTACCACGACCTGGTGCCGGCCGACCCCAGCCTCGAGGAGATGAGACGCGTCGTCTGCGTCGACCGCCAGCGGCCCTCCATCCCCAACCAGTGGCAGAGCTCCGAGGTGAGGCGGCTCTCCGTCCCCAACCAGTGACAGAGTTCTAGGTTAGGCGTCCCCCCTACATCCCCAACCAGTGACAGAGCTCCGAAGCGAGCCGGTCCTCCATCCCCAACCAGTGACAGCTTCGAGGTGAGCCGCCCCTCCATCCTCAACCAGTGGCAGAGCTCCGAGGTGAGGCGGCTCTCCGTCCCCAACCAGTGGCGGAGTTCCGAGGTGAGGCGGCCTTCCATCCCAAACCAGTGACAGAGCTTTGAGGTGAGGCGGCCCTCCATCCCCAACCAGTGGCAGAGCTCCTAGGTGAGGCGGCCCTCCATCCCCAACCAGTGACAGAGCTCCGAAGTGAGCCGGTCCTCCATCCCCGACCAGTGACAGCTTCGAGGTGAGCCGGCCCTCCATCCCCAACCAGTGACAGAGCTCCGAGGTGAGGCGGCCGTTTATTCCCAACCAGTGGCATAGCTCCGAGCTGAGGTGCTCCCCTGTCATTAAGTCGTCGATCTCTATCATTGACAGAAATCGTCTGGTGCCAAGGAGGCATGAGATGCTCTGGCTTGCTTTGTCCCGGGCCTCGTGATGGATTTGCTTGTGATTGTTGTTGACGCAAATCTAATAACGTAGGCAAGCTTTTCACACGTTTATTTGAAGGCGGCTGGAACATGCATGGAATATGAACGATCATTAATCCATCAATCGCCTCCATCGAAAACTGTAAGGTCGGATTTGTTTTCAAATTATTTGAGAAAATCTGTCTACAGCGTGTTTGTAAGTTTTTCGAATTATTATGGGGAAATCTGGGTATAGTTCACTGGTAAATAATGGAGTTATCAGTGCTTAACCGTCATTTATCGGTATTTGGTGTAGTGACATTCCAGTTCTGACATATCGTAGTGTTTTATAGCTGGGACTGTAGGCACAACAGCTGCCGTTTGGAAGTTAGGTTTGCTTGTTCCAAGGAGATTTGTGGAGACTTAGCTATTTTAATCGCTGATTCCCTTCGGAGATATAGGTATTTCAACTGCATGGCCTAACCGATGTATTCGGCTGTAGTGGCCCGCCGGCGTCAAATTGATCGTGTTATCCCGGGACCCAAGAACAGTGTTCTAAGAGCATCATAATGATAACTTTCGCACGTCTGTAACGTGTGGGTTCTGACAGCTTTCTCATCCATGTCGGGTTGGCAAGCTTAAATGTGACGTGTACCACACTTCATTGTTATCTTTTGTCATAATGTGCCCTGCGTTCCCTGTAGCCATCGCCTCTCAAGTCTTAAACATGTTAGCACGAGAGAGATTGCAGTGACCCTTGACCTTTTAGTGGGCGTGAAGTGGCCTCGGTGTCGACGCGCGCTCAAAAACCCGACTGCACCGCCTTGGCCTTTTACGGTGGGGCTGCTGGACCGGGTCGCACTGTTGGGCCGCGTGACTGGCGGGTACGAAACAGTCCCACCGCCCCGCTGGTCAGGCTGCATACAGTCTCTGGCAGCGTAGTGGCTTGTTGGGCTCGGCTGAAGGCGAAGCGTAGGGAACTGTGCCCAGGGAAGGGAGAAGAGGTGTGCATCCCAGACGATCACAGCATGTTTGACAATGGTGACGTCTGGTCTTCAGCAATGCTAAGGTCGTGGCAACGGTATCTTGTAGGGCCGGTTATTCTGCAGCTATTTGGAGGAGCACACCGTCCTTGGACCTGGGAGATAACAGTAATTGCTACACCGGCTGGCTGGGTAGTTTTGAGCCGAATACACCGCCCGTAGCCGGTCAGTCTGGGGCGTGAGCAGGAAGGTCAAGGCCGAGTGCTACGGGAACTCGGACACGCTTCGTAACAGGAGCACGCAGTTTGTAAATGACAGACGATGCTGCCAAAAATCTTAGCTGTTGGAGGATGTGAGGTGGCGACTTGACGAGCGTCGCCTTGTGGCCTGTGCAGCAAAGACTGATAGGGATGCGCACCTGAAACTGGCACAGAAACGCCAGTTTAGGAGAAAAATAGACAGGTTTGGGAATAAAGTTCATGTGTCGAGTATTAGAGTCGCCGGGTGCAGTATGTTGGAAAGGAAGGAAGGCGACACATTTTCGGGACTATTTCAGGTTCGCTGTTTTGGATTCGTCTGCAGCTGTTTCTCCATCCAGGAACGGATTTTATTTCCGGCTGACTGGGGCCTCCTTTAGTGACTTGACGGACACTGGTCTGCGTGGCGGAACCTCGTGCTCAGGCGATTTCGGCGCCGTGCCGAGTGCTCGGGTTCGGGGTTGCGCGCCTGATGCCTGTCGCGCATCTTGGCCGCTTCCAACGGATCGTGCGTCAGCACCGAGTAACAGAAGAGACTGCCAGACGCTGCCCGCCGCCATCGCGAGAGGGATGAACCGCGTGACCCACACATGACATAGCCGCCGGCCGGTAACGATCCCTGCTCCACAGACAGCCGGGCTGGCGCCGCCGTGAGGTAGCAACGCACCGCACGTGTAATGCCATGCCATTGGGCGTCCCGACCCAGACGCCAAGTGTGTGGCTTGCACCCCAGCTGGTGGGTAACTGGCCGTCCCGCCGGCAGGCCCTGCGCGTCATGTCGCGGGTGATGAAGGAGTGCTGGTATCACAGCTCGGCCGCCCGCCTCACCGTGCTGCGCATCAAGAAGACGCTGGGCAGCAACTGCGCCTCGGACGACATCAAAGCTGTGCTGTAGAGCGGCCCGCCGTCGCTCCGGCCGGCCGGCTGCCGGTCCCGTGTGCAGACTGTGGACAGCCCGCTCGGACTGTCGGAGCTGTGATCTGTGGCGGGCCAGCGCCGCCGCGGCGTCAGCTGGCGCCGAGCGGCTCGCCCTGCAGAGGTCGGCACGTGGCTGTGCGTGCCGCCGGGATGCGGCCGGTCATCTGATGAGCGGAGACGACAGGCGGTCTGCCGCCACCGCCGCCGCCGTGACGGTCGGGCTGGGCCGTGTCCGGGCCCGCCGCCGGCCACCGGAGAGCCGGACGTGGGCTCGCGTGCTGGCGTGCGCCACTAGACACCGCCGGCGAGACGGCCGGGTGGCGGCGCTCGGACTGTGACGACGCCCCGCCGCCGCCGCCGGCGCGCTGTAGTCGGCACGTGGACGGACGCCGGCGCGCGTGTGTATATTACTGCAGCTGCTGTGGTGATGGCAGCTGACGGCGCTAGCGGGCCGAGGGACCGGCGCCGGCGCCGGCGCGTGATGACGCGGGCTGCGTGCGGAGGTGCGCCGCCTCCCTAATGTCAGCCGGCGGCGGACGATCGGACGCCGGACGGGCGGGTTCTGAACCCGTCGACGGCCGGCTGTGCCGCCGCCGCCGAGCGGACCAAGCGTGTGATCGGGTGGCCACGGTCAGTACGGAGCCGGCCGGCAGGCCGTCGGCGGCGGCTCGGCAGCCGGAGCCGGGGCGACGACCGCTGGCACGGGAGGGGAGGGGGACGCCGCGGGCCTGCTGGGCGACCCGAGCCGCCCGGTGGCCGGCTCCGGTCCAGAGTCCGGCCCGCCCCGGCCGGCGTCCGGCGGCCGATCCGCCGTTCGGCCTCTCAGGCTCCTTTGAAATGTGATGGCGCGCGACGGGCCGGTAGACGCCGCCGGGCCGCGCGCGGTGTCTCGTGCCGCTCGGCTGGCGGCGCCTGGCTGTGTAGCGTAACGCCGCGCCACCGTCTGTCCTCTCCTCGCACGCGCCGGCGTCGACCGGCCGCGCCCTCGCTCTCCCGCCTCTCTGATATTAGCCCCGGGCGCGCCAGGCGGCGCCGGTGGCTGCGCTCGGCATCGCGTGAATGAAACTCAGGTACCGGCGCCGCGTTTTCCATGTGCGTGTGCGTGTGCGCTTCTCGTGTGTAGCGCCGCCTGTCGACGACGGTGCTGTCGCGCCCTCTGTACCGGGTAGCCTGTCCTCGTGTAGCAGCTGCGGCGGCCGGCGGCGCCGACGTGCTCCGGAGTAGCACGTCGGCCTCGCCACGCCCAGTCTCCTCAGCTATGTACTTGTTACAATACACCCTATTTCCTACGTGACGTGTGTGGATGGGTGAGGGTGAGTGGGTCGGGCGACGCCGCTGCTCCGGCCGACCGCACCTCTGTGGATGGGTGAGGGTGGGTCGGTCGGGCGACGCCGCTGCTCCGGCCGACCGTTCCTGTGTGGATGGGTGGGGGGTGGGTAGGTCGGGCGACGCCGCTGCTTCCGGCCGACCGCACCTGTGTGGATGGGTGGGGGTGAGTGGGCCGAGCAACGCCGCTGCTTCGGCCGACCGCACCGAGAGCAGGCATCGGCCAAGGCGCGTCTTTCCAGGCATCAACGCGTGTTTTTGTCGGGTGATGACTGCTTGGACGCCCTGACGCCCCCTCTGTGTGTGGCGCCGTGGCGGAGTGTGCTGGTGTGGTAGCTGACTGATGACTGCGCCGTGGCGGAGTGTGCTGGTGTGGTAGCTGACTGATGACTAAGCCGTGAGGGAGTGCGGTAGTGTGGTAGCTGACTGATGACCAAGCCGTGAGTGAGTGCGGTAGTGTGGTAGCTGACTGATGACTGCGCCGTGGCGGAGTGTGCTGGTGTGGTAGCTGACTGATGACTCAGCCGTGAGGGGGTGCGGTAGTGTGGTAGTTGACTAATGACTCAGCCGTGAGGGAGTGTGGTAGCTGACTGATGACTAAGCCGTGAGGGGGTGCGGTAGTGTGGTAGCTGACTGATGACTAAGCCGTGAGGGAGTGTGGTAGTGTGGTAGCTGACTGATGACTCAGCCGTGAGGGAGTGTGGTAGTGTGGTAGCTAACTGATGACTCAGCCGTGAGGGAGTGTGGTAGCTGACTGATGACTGAGCCGTGAGGGGGTGCGGTAGTGTGGTAGCTGATTGATGACTCAACCTTGAGGGAGTGTGGCAGTGTGGTAGCTGACTGATGATTGGGACCGTGAAGGAGTGCGGTAGTGTGGTAACTGACTGATGACTCAGCCATGAGGGAGTGCGGTAGTGTGGTAGCTGACTGATGACTAAGCCGTAAAGGAGTGCGGTAGTGTGGTAGCTGACCGACGACTTCGTCGTAAGTGAGTGTGGTAACTGACTGATGACTCAGTCGTGAAGGAGTGTGGTAGTGTTGTAGCTGACTGATGACTGAGCCGTGAGTGAGTGCGGTAGTGTGGCAGCTGACTGATGACTGAGCCGTGAGGGAGTGTGGTAGTGTGGAAGCTGACTGATGACTCAGCAGTGAGGGAGTGTGGTAATGTGGAAGCTGACTGATGACTGAGCCGTGAAGGAGTGCGGTAGTGCGGTAACTGACTGATGACTCAGCCGTGAGGGAGTGCGGTAGTGTGGTAGCTGACTGATGACTGAGCCGTGAGGGAGTGTGGTAGTGTGGAAGCTGACTGATGACCCAGCCGTGAGGGGTTGCGGTAGTGCAGCGCCACGGACTAATGACCCAGCGGGTCGAGCCAAGTAGGCCATGGAAGCCAGTGACGTACATGGCGTGGGTGCCTTTGCCCCCCATTGCTCGAGATCAGGCTGTCTCTGGAGGCTGGTTTGTGTGCCGCGGTTCCATGATTGTGGTTGTCTTCTATGAAAATGTTCATTGGGCGCTTTAGTGCGTAGGCAGACTGGCTAGGCGAGTGTCGTCGTAGCTGTTAACGGTCATTTTGGTACGGCGACATTTCAATTGAATGTACGTAATAGATCAGACCGCACCGCAACCGTCAACCGTGAATAGATCAGACCCCGGCCGTGGAGCAGATTATCATCGGGTTTTGACCGAAAGCAGATGCCCACCCTTACATTGGGTTTATTCTCTGATTCTACGCTTGTTCCTGTCTCACCACGCGATCGCCTTGTCTTATGGTGCGAGCCTTCTTGGCAGCTGCAGGCATCTGCAGTGCGTTCCACATGCTCTGTAATCTGTCGGGCTCGTCGGCCCGGCCATTGCCGGTCCGTGGGCTTTTTTTACTTTTTTTCAAGCGTAAGCGCTGATGCGGTTATACACCTTTTTGGTCGGATTAGCGAGCGTCGATGCTTTTGGCTCACTGGAGCTATTTTGCATGCCTGGGGTTAATTATACAAGATATGTATGCTTGAAAAGTCGGAGACTGTCAACGGTGTGTCGAACGTTATTGCAAGGTGAGGGTCCGCGTCACCGCGGTGTCCTCGTGCACCACCTGCCCCCAGATGGCTGCAGGCTTTGAATAGGGGGCGCCACAGGTGTATTGCCCATTCATTGCCTTTACTATGGCGCAAACACTGCACTTTCAAGGCACTGAAAACTGCCCGAAGAGTTCCAACGACTGCTAGAAAGCGTCGTCATGCCATATCAGAGCACACTGTTCGCGGTGTGTCGCGTAACATACTGTGACAATTGCCTTCAAAAATTTCGCGAACGTCGTTCACTATGTAAGTGCCGTGACTGTGATGTTTTCTCGTCTGCAGCGCGGCAAAAACGTCTACCTGAAATACGAACTGGGTCACTCCAAGACCGCTCTGGCAAACAGTCCACGATTTATGGTCCAGATACGCAGCCCTGCACTTTGCAGGCCTTTACTGCACCTTGTAAATGCTGAGTCCGCCATTTTGTAAACACGGGCCTCATAACGACTCCTTATCATCTCTCCACTCGGGCGCCGCGACAAACAGTTTAGGACTATGTCAAGTTCCGCATCTATTTCCTCATTACAGTATACATTAAACATCATAGAGATAACTAACTCATTAATGGAAATATATCATAAATAATACCAATCACGGAATCCACTATGGCTAACAGAAGTGAGCCTCCCGAAATCGCCTATTATGGAGTGAGGCGGCGGGCCGGCAACGACTCGTTCTCTCATCACTGGCGCTATTTACACGAGTTAAACACACGTAGGTCGGCAGGTCTGAGCAAGGCAAGAGGTAGAAAGAGAGTCGCTAGCCCGCGGCCGGCCCGCGCTGAAGCGGAGCGCGCCCAGCATCGGGGCACGACTGGAGGCCGAGTCGAGAAAACACTCGCAGAACTTTGTACTGAACACCTGCCGAACCGGAGGGGCGAGACGGGGGAGGGGTGCTGGCGAGACGGCTCGCTCGGCGTCGTGCGCCCGGCCGCGGCGCGTCCCCGGCGTTTGATCGAGTCACTTGTACTGAACATCAACACACGCATCCGTCGGGCAAGAATGGCGGGCGGCGGCGCGGCCGGCCGCGGGGAGCGGCTCGTGTCCGAGCGCGCCGTCGGTCCGTTCGCAGCGGCCGCGCCGGCGCACGGCCCCGGCCGAGCCGGCCTCACAAGATGACGGCATCCTTCGGGAAGTGGTGGTAGTGGTGGTGCACGTGCTCGTGCATGTGGTGGTGCTCCACCTTCTGGCTGGGCCGCGGCGGCGGCGGAGGCGGTGGCGGCGGTGGTGGCGGCGGCTGCTGCGGCGGCGCCTGCTGGGGCGCCGGCGCCGGCTCGCAGCCGCACTCCTCGCCGCCGGCCGGCTCCGGCGCCGGGTGCTCGCGCTCCAGCCAGCTCAGCACCTGCTGCATGGCGCGGCAGTGGTCGCGCTCGCGGTTGCGGTGCTTTAGCTGGTGGTGCGGCGAGCCGGCGGTGCGCGGCCGCACCGGCCGCGGCCGCCCCTCCTGCTGCGCGCCGCGCAGCGCGAACTCGGCGCAGCGCGCCAGCAGCTCGTAGTCGTCCTCGTAGCCGCCCTGCTGCGCCGGCGCCGGCGGCTGGCAGCGGCGCGCGCGGCAGCCGGCGTGCCGGCGCGCCCAGCGCTCGCGCACGCAGCGGCTGCAGGCGGCGTCGGCCGCTGCGGCGGCCGGGCAGTGCAGCTCGCCGACGGTGCAGTAGTGCGCCTCGGCCGGGTCGGCGCGCGGCCGGCCGGGCCGCGCCGCCTCCTCGCGGCCGCCGTGGCGGTGACGCACCTGTTCCCGGTCCGAGTTGTGCCGCCTGCAACGGCGGGAAGGTGTGGTTAGAGGCGGAGTCAGGCCCACAGTTGGAGGATCGGCCCAGGCGGAGAGGCGTTGGAGTCGCAGCGCCGGTGACAGTGGCGCTATGGGATTCCCTGAGGCTGACAGTCCCGCCGCTACTTTTTAGTCCAAGGCACGGACAGGAAAGGCGCAGACCGCGTGCGTTGACTCGTTCGCCGGCACATCAACTGGTGAACCCCAGGTGAAACCCCCACGGACCATCAACAGCCGGCCCCGTCTCCCCCGCTTGTTATCTGGCGCCGCCGCCGCCGAAGAAGACGGCGCCCCGGTTCCCTTCAGCGTCGCCCGCCGGAAATCCTGCGCGCTTCCCTGTCCGTCAGCGGCGCGTCTGACGCCGGCACCAGGCGCCGAGACGCCACCCGTCCGCCAGACCCCCGCCCGCCGCCAGAGAGGAAAGTGCCGGCCGTGGAGGCCACATCAAAACGGCGTCGACCCCGGAATTATAAAACAAGGCGGCCATAAAGCGGACCTCACACAGATTTCGGAGGGCCGCTCGGACGGCGCCATCCCTGGTCGCCCCCTATCAGATGGGCGGCAGCGGCGGCGCCAGGCATTTGTGGGTCACGCCAGACGCCGCGCCGCGAAGCAAAGCCTGTCGGCGGCCGTCACGTCCCAGTCCCTGCCAGCGGGCCGCCGGTCGCCCGCGCCCCGGGGCGCCGCTGGAGCCCGCCCTCCTCCCCCGCGCGCCGCCTGAGTGCGCCCCTGCTGGCGCCGGCCGGCCCTGGGCGGACAGCTTGCCGCGCAGCGGGCGGCCACCATCAAAGGGGTTAACAAAAGGCGGCATTCGACTGTAGCTGACGGCGGGCGGTCCGTCCGCAGCCGCGGGGAGGGGAGGGGAGCGATGGGGACGGGAGGGGAGGGGGCCGCGCCGGCCGGGGACCGCGCGCCGGCCGGCGCGCTGCCGTGTTTACAGCGGGGAGGCATACTGCGGATTCCGGCCTCCCCGGGAGAAAGCGCCGGCAGAGCGCGCCGCCTAATAAACAGACCAGTTTAACGGCAGGTGATTCGATGCGGCCCGGCCGCAAACGGCATGTTTCCAGAACCCGTTCAACAAAAAACCGTCCGGGGGTAAGCGGGACGGTTGGTGGGCATTACGTCCTGGGAGTAGGCGGTACAGCTGGTGGGCACTACGTCCTGGGGATAGGGGCACAGCTGATGGGCACTACGTCCTGGGGATAGGGGTACAGCTGGTGGGCACTACGTCCTGGGGGTAGGCGGTACAGCTGGTGGGCACTACGTCCTGGGGATAGGGGTACAGCTGGTGGGCACTATGTCCTGGGGGTAGGCGGTACAGCTGGTGGGCACTACGTCCTGGGGGTAGGCGGTACAGCTGGTGGGCACTACGTCCTGGGGGTAGGCGGTACAGCTGGTGGGCACTACGTCCTGGGGGTAGGCGGTACAGCTGGTGGGCACTACGTCCTGGGGGGTAGGCGGTACAGCTGGTGGGCACTACGTCCTGGGGGTAGGGGTACGGCTGGTGGGCACTACGTCCTGGGGGTAGGCGGTACAGCTGGTGGGCACTACGTCCTGGGGGTAGGCGTTACAGCTGGTGGGCACTACATCCTGGGGTACGCGATACAGATGGTGGGCACTACTTGCGGCATATCGGAGTGGGTCCTGTGAATTCAGTTAGCAATAAGTCGGCGCGCGGCGCTGCAGCCTGCGTGAAGCGCTTCATGACCGACCAGCTACACAACCTTGTCGTCTCCTGAGCAGACGGAGCGACCTTCCCCCCCCCCCTCTCCACCCTCTCCTGCCGCGTATACTCACTTCAGATTGTTGAACTTGAGGTTGTTCTTCTCCATGCTGTGCTGGAGCATCTCGACCAGCTGGCGGCGGCGGACGGGGTCGACGGCGAACTCGCGCCGCCCGCGCTGCGGCTCGTCGTCGGCTGGGGCGCCCGGGGACCTGCCGCGCCAGCCGGCCGGCTGCTGGCCGCGCATCGAGTTGAAGCGCGGCCGACGCGCCTCCAGGCGCGCCTTCAGGTCAAGGTCGTCCTTGCAGCGGGCGGCGGCGGCGGCGGCGGCCGGCTCGGACCCCGCCCCGCTCCGGATCGTGATACTGAGGTCGCGCGGCGCCGCGGCGGCGGCCGACGCGGCCATAGGCGCTCAGGCGCCGCTGCTCCGGCGTCACCGTTAGCTTGACGTTGATGGTCTTGCTGCCGCTGGGCGGCACGTGCACCGACGACCCGACCACCTCGTAGATGGCCTTCACCAGGCCGGCAATGTCCTGCGGGCGGAAGGGAGGCTCCGGTGAGAACGAGGCCGGAGACGATTGACGGCGATTGACGACGATTGACGGCGATTCACGTCGTGCCGCGGGAAGCGGAACACTGGGGCTTGCGATGGCGTGCTAGTGTTGTCTGAAGCGGGGAGAACCATCGCCATCGGCGGCGGCATGGTCCAGTGGCGGCCCCTTGACAGGCCGTCTGGCTCCCACATCCCGCTGAAGCCGGAAAGGCACGAGATCAGGCACGCCAGAGCCATCTACGTGAGAGGCCGCTCGCTCGCAGCACGGCGCCAGCTGACGTCAGACAAAATCGGCCGAGATCTCCTCAGTTTCATGTACTCGCCGTTGGTGCATGCAACAGAGCATGCATTATGTAACGACCGGGAGAGAGAAAAAGACCGCGTTGCGATGCGGCATGTACAAGACGCAAAGATAACGACACGAGCACACCGCATGGCTGCTTCAAACGCTGCCGAAACACGTCTGGACAAGGACGTGCACGCGAAGAAAACAACCGGGAGCCTCGCTTGTGGCTAACCCGTAATTAAGTCGCATTAATATTGCAGGCTAGGTGTCATAGAGTTCCTGCGGATTTCTTCAACCTAGAGCGGCCCCCGACCGTCCGCCGTTGGAGCGACAAAGCCGCGGCGCCGGGCAGCTGGCGAGGGGACGCGGCCCATGGCAGGACAGCGCGGAGGTCCCACGCTGGCCGCCCCGCCCCTCCCTCTGTGTCGAGATCTGAGATACAGCACGCAGGCCGGGCCGGAAGCAGCTGACCCGGCAGCATGCTGACGAGGTCGACGACGCGGAGCGCGTTGCTGGACAGCGGTCAGCGTGAGTGGAAACTTTATGCGTCACGGATGGCAGTGGACACACCAGCTTCCGCTAAAATTGACCGAATCTCATCACACCGACAATGAAAGCCGCTCTTCCGGGCAGCCCTGCCAGCCCAGCTTGTCTGTATTCTCCCCCGATAATGGTCAGGGTCCTTCCCTCGTCCTCCCCGCGTAAGGGACGCCAGGCCAGATGCCCTGGGCGATGACCAGACCGTCCGGTCTGGTCATCCCGGCCGTCCCGGCCGTCCAGCCGGTGCAGAGAGACGGCTCTCCGCGGCGAGCGCCCCATAATAGCCAACGGCTCGAACGGAGCCGCCAAAAAACACCGCTGAGCCGCGCTAACAAGGCTGCAATCACGCGATTCGGGAAAGCAGCTTCAGCGAACGTTTCCGCGCGACTGCGCCCGTGTCGGGCTCAACGTTTATCTCCGACACGGACATTGACTCCTCTGACAGGCGCGGGGAAGCCGGAGCTCCGGCGCTGCGCCCAGCGGTCCAGCCGTGGTGGGAGCTCAGGCGCTCCGCCCAGCGGTCCAGCCGTGGCGGGAGCTCAGGCGCTTGCTCCGCCCAGCGGCCCAGTCGTGGTGGGAGCCGTGGGCTCCTTTCCGCCGGCCTACACCTTCGCGGGCGCGTCTCTACTAACACGCCTCGTGCGAGGGGCGGCGATAGCGCCGCTGGTCGGGCCGATAGCCGCCTGTGTACGACACCCGGCGCCGCCTTGCGTCAGACACGAACCACACGAGAGGCGGCGCTCACGCACGCACGGGTCCTGCGGTCTGAGAGAATGAGCTGGAGCCGTGCGGCTGTGTGGGAGGAAGTTTAAACGAAATATTCCACATTTGAAGATACTGAAGCAAGCATCGAATATGACGAAATAAGCTGGCATATACCTATTGGCATACTTTAAAGTGAAAAGGACCGCTTGCGCGACACAATTCCTCTATTTAGTAAAAATGCTCCTTCATGCGTCATTGTTTGATCACGTTATCGTGCCTTGCACAACATTGAATGACATCCAGTTGACACTCATTATATCTGGAAATCGTGCTCACGTACGCTAGATACGAACGGCTCAACAATTACATTTGTCTTGGCCTGGATCGTTGCATGGCAAAAGGAATCGCAGGATTGGAATGTCATTATTATGACGTCATGGATGCTTGATTGACCTTGAAATAGTCTCCCCGACCCAGTGTGCACATCTTCGCGGGCTCAGAAACTAGATGGGCTTAGGTCTAAAGAAGGGCAGAGCTGTCAACTGCACCGAATGATCTTCAAGATGGCTATTTCAGTCTAAAACCCCATACAAATGTGGAACACTTCCTTTAAACTAAACAGTGGAAATGCTGACTCCGCGGTTTGGAATGACGTCGTCTTCCAACGGGTTTGTTCGTACCGATAGCTCAGCTAGCTGGAGCGTCTACCTTCCGATCCGCCCACCCGTGGCGTCGTTTGTTCGAGTCACTTTAAGGGCTCACCATTTGCCCTTGAGTGAAATGACCTGCAGTCGTTGGCAGCGGCCGCCCTAAAGGTCATGTGACGTCACACAGCAGGGCGGACCGTGCCCAACATTGAGGCACATTAGGCTTTTGCCACTAAATTCTGCCGTTGACGTGGAATTTCCTGACCGGACGGACAGGGTCAGGGTTTGCGAAACAGCGCTGCTCAGCGGGAGCTCCGATCCTAGAAATCCATCCATTCAAGAGATTCAGGATAACTCTTTTTAAGAAGTGACAAATGAGCGTGCTACGTTGAGCAGCCTGCAAAATGAATGGAGCAGATTCGTCCTGAGTCGTTCAGTGCTCCCCAGTGACGAAACAGACCGTTTTTTCAGCACCCCTCCGGCCAGTGTGGCTCCGTCCGGCCGCCCGACCTCCCGCAATACTCATCAGCGCCGTCCGTTCGCGCCGACCTGACAGCGGCGGCTGTACAAACACCCGCCAGCCGGCGAGCTGGCTCGCAAATATCGCGCCTCGTCAAGTCCCTGCACGCATGGGCCCGAAAAACATCGGCCGCACAGAACCAGTCCGTTCGAGACCTCTTGCGACTGACTGTCGTTCCGTAGAAAAAGTGCTAACCGCTCGCGGGCCGGCATCTCGTTATCTTTCGTTGCGGTTCGGCTCCAAGTTTCGGGGTACCGACGAACGCGCTCGCCGACTCCGGGAACTTGAGACAGTCGCGCTGCGCCGCGGCCGGCGTCCGCTACGCTCGTCCAAGCGCTTCTGATGCGCAAAAGCGGGTCCGCGCCGCCGGCCGGGGATCGCGCACCCTCTGACCTTTGTCAGCCACATCAGAGGCGCCGCCGCCGGCCGGACGACGCCAATCTGAGCCGCGGGGGGGGGGGGCAGAGACTGCCGGGTGACAAAGCGTGTGGGTGGGCTGGACCGAGGGACCGGAGCCGGCGCCGGTCGAGCCGCGCCGCAGACTGCAGAGGCAGCGCCATGCATGGACGAGGTATCTGGGCCATGGTACGGCCGGCACGATGAAAGGGATTCCTGCCATGACCCGGCAGGAAAATAATGGGGCACCGACGCGACCAAGGCAGACTCGCCTGTCGCAGCGTTCCTGATCCATCCCTTCGGTGATCAACTTCGCTGCGGTTCCGACAGGCATGCCCAAGAGAAATGAGCGCAGGCTCACAACAATCTGTCCGCTGCATACTCCGCATTGTTTCGGCATGGACGCAATGACTCGCAAGACCGCAGCGCGGCTTCAGTGCAGGAAGCCTCGTACGTGCAGGTCGTTCAGAGGCTCCCACCATTAATTACAGCCGCGGTAAAAGCGCAGCCCCGTCACGCATAACCCGGCTGCGGCATTCCACCCGCCGGGCTGCGGGGAAGGCCGCTGGGGGGCGGCAGACGGGAGGGGAGGGACGCTCGTGCGGCGATGGCCACGCCGCCGCCCAACCGACAAGGCCAATGGCGCCGGGCGCGCCGGCTGGTCGCTCGAGTGCCCCGCGGGCAGGGTCGTGAGAGAGGCCCGTGCCAGACCGCGCACTGAGCCGATCAGCCGGTCCATCGCCGAGGCTTGGACGCCCGCCAACGGCACGTGCACATGACTGCAGTTCGAGACGCTTCAGTGAATCGCAAACCACAGCCTGCACTCCGCTGCAATGAATGGCGGGCGAGCTGGGGGTTCGCTTCTGGGCCAGCTCCGTGACGCCGCCGCACGCTGGCTACCCGGACCCGGACGCTGCCGCCGGCGCCCCGCGGGCTCCGCCGCCCAACCCAGCGGCGGCACCGCCGAACACCAGCGCGGACGCTGACCTCGGCCGTTCGGCGGACGCCCAAACCCTTCCCACGCGTGCCGCGCTGCGAGCCTGCCTCCCCGCGCCGCCAGGATCGCGCGGATGCCGCCCAGGACACGCCCCGGTGACCTCCGCGACGTCTCGCGGGCGCCGCCTACAGCTCACGCCCGCGCACTGCTGGTGACCCGGACCAGCGTCCGCGCGCAGAAGCAGTCGTCATTACAGTGTACCGACGGCATGATATTGAACGTCATTCATTCGTGCAGTCATTCATTCGCTCAACCGTTCATCCATTCATGGCTTGCGCTGATTCATTACGACGCAAAATGCATACAGGCGTGCACGAGCGCATGGAGATGTCGAGAAGCGTTGCATCGGCTGCGGACGGTGCGCTAGAGATCCCAGCCCTACAAATAACGACCTGAGACACACCACTCAGCAGCAGCATTAGGGGACATGCACATTGATATTCTGCTCGCTAAGCGCGGTGAACACAGCCGAGGAGCCGGGCCTGTCCGCCGTTACTCACGTCTTTTGTGACCTTGCCGTGACCGTCGAAGTCGTACAGGGTGAAGTTGAACTCGTCCCTGGGCGGGGCGCGGCCGGGGCTGGCCGGGCCCGGCGGGGTCGCCGGAGGGTCGCCGCGGCGAGGCGTGTCACCCGAGGCCACGCTGCACGCGTCCTGCCGGCAGACACGAAGCGTCAGGCTGGTTGGCGGCGCCGCCCCAGACACGGCTGGGCGCCGCCGCAGCCGTGCCGCCGCCGGCTGTCGCGAGCGACGCCCCAGCCTCACAAACTTCTGCAGTGAGCGGCGCTTGAGTCCAGGGTCAGCTGATACCGCGGCGTTCGCCGCTAAACACTCCGCTTCGGCGAAATCGACCATCACGCCCGCCGTACGGCGCGCCGCCGCTGTTGCATGTAAGCCAACCGGCGCGCCATCGCCCGGGGTCGAAACCGCGCCTAAATACGGAAGCCGCCGTCGGTGAAACGCCACTGGCGTATGCATTTATTCGGGGCGGCGGTGGCCGGCGGCCTGGATGTGACGAGGCCGCGACCGGCGCTGGATTGCGGACCAGACGGCGGCCGTGTCAGCAGCCCGCCCGCCGCGGCCGGCGCCTCGTGAGAAAAACCCGACCCGGGCCGGCCCGGCGGCTCAGCGACCGCTCCTGCAGCGGCCCGGGCGAGGGTGCGCGCGGCGCACGAGGGTCCCTCGGGGCCCGGGCATCACTGCGCGGCCGGGCGTGAGCGAGTGTGTCGGCGGTGGGTCCCCGGGGTGCGGCACTGAACGCCGGAGCGGGGGAGGCGCCCCGGGGGAGCCGCCGCAGTGACGGCCGGTAAACACCGCTGCGGCCGACTGCGGGCGGCTGCTGCCCACAACCGGTGGGTCCCGCTGCCGTCCCAGGTCCCGGTCCGCCGTCCCAGGCGGACCGGGACCTGGGATCGCGGCCCCAGGGAGCGGGACCGGGTCCGTGATCGTTCCTCCTGCTCGTGGCACCCGCAGCCGGGCGGACGCACGCTCGCAGCACGATGCACAGCAAAAACAGGCGCTGCGCCTTTTGTGAGTCGCCACTGCGCAAATTGCCGCTAATTGGGGGCGGGGGCTGGCCGCGGAAGCTCGGCCGACGTCGGCCGGCCGCGCACCAGCCGCCAGACATCTGGGGCGACGGCAAGGCCAGCAGCCGAGGCCGCCGCCGCGCCCGGCGCCGGCCGCCGCAGCCCGGCACCGCCAGACGTGCAGATCGCAGATAGCGACGACGGCTGAAGCGGCGCGGCGCTACAAACGCGCCGCACCCACTCCGACCAGCGCGGCTCGTTATTCATTGAGAGTGCGTGAACAAAGGCGCCGCAGCCGACCGGATTTACGAGGCCGGGCGCGCCTCCCCGGGCTGCGTCGCGGCCCGAGCCGGCCTGTAATTCTCGGCGCACTCGGCCGTCGGCGGGACGCAATGGCTGCGTTTACAGCCGGCATTACGACCGGCATTCCTGGCGGAGCGGCGGCCGCGCGGCGCCGCTCGCGCCGCGCATTCTTACGCACCGGCCGCCGGCAGGGGCCTGCGCAGGACGCGGACGGCGCCGGCGGCGGCTGGCGGGGCGGCTGTGTGCCCACCGAACTGTGAGTTGGTGGCCGCCACCCTGACCCTCCGGTTGGTCGGCGGTGGCAGTGGGTTGACGACGGGCGGCGGTCCGTCCGCACACCGCCGCCGCCTACACCGGCCCCTGGCGGCGGCGACAACAAAGCGGGCGACAGGAAGTGAGGCCGCCGCTCCCCTGCCCAGCTGATGGCGGCGCCGGAGTAAACAGCGACGCGCCGGGCGCCGCCGCGTGCGGCCGCCGCCTGACGTCAGCGGGGAGAGAGCGCGCGGCCGGCGCCGGCCGTCCCGCTCTCTATTGTGTGGCCGCCGGGCCAGCGCTCTCCTGGCGACCGGTCGGATCTGAGGCGGCGGCCCGATGGGTTCCAGACGTGCCCGGCCGGGGCGGGCGCGGGGGAAGGCTCGCGCGGCTAGGGAGGAGGTGACGCTCGGTCCAACGCTGGGGGCCCGAGCTCCGGCTGCTACCCCGTGCGCAAGGGCGGCGGCGGCAGTCTTCGCAGGTTTAAGACAGTAAGCTGGACCGGCGTCTTACTCAGCAGCATGCCGCACGGGAACTCTCGAAATAAGACTGAGTGGCCTGACAGCGAGCAGATCTCCGGCGGTGTTGACAACTCCGCCTGACCGTCTCCCGGGAAGTGCTGCGGACGTTTCGCTGATGACAAAAAGATGCGACAGGACCTGTTTGACAAAAAGCGGCGCCGTCCGCTTCCCCGCCGCGTTCAGCTAATGAACACCACCTGCCCGCGCCGGCGGCCTGGCTGCGCGGACGGCGAAACAAGTACTGGTTCAGGCCGGCAGGCACAAAAACGCAACGTCCGCCATTTTGAATCATCGGCCCGGCCACTTTTTGCCGCCGGTGTCGGCTTTTGAAGCGGTGCGCCGGTCGTCGGCGGCCGCTTTGATCCACGCGGTCAAGAAAGTGTTACGTCACAAGCTCATTGTTTGAGTTCTAATCTGGGCGTATCGCGGTGTAGTGATGGCCGGACGCACGGGTGCGGCGAAAGGTGGCGCGGGTATAAGTGGCGCAGTCGGAGGCAGCGCTATGCGTCGGGCAGCAGCCATGGCGACTGGAATCAGACTACGTCATTTGAGTCGGAGTACCGAACGAGCGGAACCGGATTTCAGTCGCGCTAACATACATCTGAGAGCCGGATTCCGTGTAAGATCTGACCGGCGGCTGCTTTGGTTTTCCAGCCAAGTCGCCCGGCTTGCATGATCGGAGCCCACCCATATGACAGGTCCATCTATCAATGAATGCAGTAAAAACAAACAAAGTCGATATTTTCGCAACTGAAAGAGACCTTGGACATCGCGCACCAGTCTTGCTGATTCACCAGAGGATCAATGGGCCCAGTCCATTCATTCATTCTCCGCCATGTTTGAATCGGGTGTTTCTTGACAAGGAGCCTCTTAGCCTTGACACCTGGCGCGAGTTAAACCTGCTGACGTCACATGGCCGAGAACAACAACAAAGCCCGTATGAAGCGTCGCTGACCCAGAACAGACTCACAAACAGAGATCAAAAGAACCAGTTTTATGTTCGATCAAACAACAAAGACGTTTATGATAAGCTTGAGATATTGATTCGACAGATAGCATGACAGGTTCGAGAAGTTATGATAGTGGAGCGATGATCAACAGAAGCCTTCGGCTCCGCCACACGACTTCGCTGGACACGTGCCCTCTGCCGACAGGGAGAGGGCGGGAGAGGGCCCGCAAGCCATCCATAGGTCACCACGCTTCTGCCGCGCCGCTCACCATACTCACCGCCTCGTCATCGTCGGATTCGTAAAGTCGCGTTTCGTCGGTCGAGCTGGCGCAGGGGTGGCCGCGGCAGCAGTAGGAGGAGCGCCGGGAGCCGCCCGCCAGCGCCGAGTGGGCGCAGTCGCTCTCCGAGACGAAGCCTGCAACACGCCGCAGCTGTTCACACCCGACCGCGGCCAGGCCCGCCGCTCGCCCGCCGGCGCAAATCCCAGGCTGCGGCCGGCAAGCCCAACAGCTTAGCGGCACTCCGCCAAGCGGCTGGGCTCGGCGAAGGTCCGGTCTCAGCCGTGTGAGCAGGGGGGGGGGGGGCTGCGGCCGTGCCAGGATGACGCACCGCACCCAATTTCAATACAGTGCATAGGCGAGCCGAGTGTGGAGAATCGTCCCGTTACGGTTATCTCACGGTTATATCATGCCGGATGGTGGGCGACACTGAGCCAGGCGACAGAAGGATCAATGCCGGCGCCGCTCCCTTTGAACAGCAGCCGCCGACACCGTCGGTCGCGGAGACAGCGTGGGACGCTGCGACCCTTCCCTCGGCCCACGCCGTCTACGTTGCACCGTATGTGGTCCCTGGGCCACCGTGTCACCGACAGGCCGGTCAGAACCCGCCGGCAGGTACCGCTGCGGCGACCACAGCCGCCGCCGCCGGTGGCCGGCGATCGGCCGGGTCGGCGGCCGTCCGCCGGCCGGCGGCGCCGCCGTGCAGGCGTCACGTGCGGCGTGCACGCGGCGAGGCCTCGCCGGCCGATCTCGTGCCGTAAAAACTTGGCCGAATGCGGACTAGTGCCGGCGCGGCCGGATCGGCCGGAAAGCCGGGACTGGCGCCGCGGAGGGACGACAGCGGCCGCGATAGGGGTCGGGAGACGCCAGAGGCTGAAATGTGGCCGTGATGGGGAGTCCCTGGGCTGTCAGGGAGGCGGAACTGGCCCGGGTGGGAAGTCGCTGGCCATCGGACATGGGAACCTAATGGAGATAATTGGAGTCCGCAGGCGCCGTACGAGCAGAGCCCTCAGAGGCTGCCGCTCCGGTGGACTAGCGATCACGTCCGTGGTATCCTTGGTCGGCTGAGCTATGGCGCAATACACCAGTCGCACAAAGGGACGAAGACGAAGTGGGCTAAAATTATACCCTGTAATTTCCAGTGAACAGTTGTACGAACCTTCCGGATGCAAATATAATGCCTTTGCAGAAGTAACCTGCAAGCATTAGACATGAAGTACCGACCCAAAGGCGATTTGGGTAATGAACACTGCCCTTTCATTTTTTCAAAGATATGTAAGTACGTACGCTGGCCCTGATTGATGGCAATAATCTGATACTCTGCATGCAGTTCATGGCACCTTCGTTAATTAAAGTTTCCCATTTAGTGCCACTCAATTCATAATGACTCAATCTTCTGCACATCCAGGGCCCGCCACCCCCCCCCCCCCCCCCCCCCCGCCCTCTATTGCCCCTCCATCTCCGGGTCCGACCGTCCTGACTCTCTCCCGCTCTTGCCTCCAACTCTGCCAGCAGCCTCTGCCGCCGGCCCCGGCCCGGCTCACTCTCGCGCCTCCTATTCTCTCTCCCTCTCTCTGCTCTCCGCTCTCTCGGTAATGGCCGCCGCTAGCTCCATCATCATTCGTTATCTGCAGCCTTTGAGGCGGCGGCGCGCCGCGCCGTTTTTGCTCGGGCCGGGGGCGCCAATTGGCCACGGAGCCGAGCGCACGCAGCGCCGCCGGCGGCGCGCGCGCCTCACGAGCGCGCGCAGTTCACCGACTCGGCGCGGCGGCGACCAGCGCGGCGCCTGTTTTTTGGCCGGCGCCGACCGGCCGCGATACGTCACTAATTACAATGCAGGGCGCCCGGGCGGCGGTCGCTCTTTGATCCCGCGCCCGTGTTATTACGCCGCGCGCGGCCAAGGCCGACGCCGGCAGCGGGCCGCGGCCTCCGCGGGCAGCCGCCGCACGCAAGCGCGCTCCGGAGCGGCCAAAGACGAGCAACCGCGCCGGCCGGCCGCCCGACGACGGCGGCGCCGATCGGCCGCCGTCTCTGATCCGCGCCGCCAGCGCGCGCGGCGCGGCGGCGGCCCGGCCGAGCGCGACCGCGCTGTTTGCCGCGGAGCGCGCGGCGCGCCGGCGGCACGGCGACAAATAGGCGCCGCCGACGGCCGCGCATTCCGCGCCGCTCCCAGCGCCGCCAGCCGATCGCGCGCCGCGTTCTCGAGCGGCGGCCGGCGGCGCAAACCGGTCCGCGCGGCTCGTCTAATATTCCGTTTCATATGCACATCAAAGCGGCGGCCGGCGGGCGCAGCGCGGCGCTCCGCGGCCACTTCAAAGCAGCGCCCGCGGCGACCGGCCGTAAACGCGCCGCGGTGGCCGCCGGCGACGCGGCGGCCATCGCGCCGACCGCGGCCGGGGTCAGCGCGAGGTCAAGCCGACCGGAGGGCGGGTCATCGCGCGGTCGGCGAAGCCCGGCGAGACGGCGGTGTTTTGTGCCGTCTCTGTAAACTTCCTTCAGTAAAAACTGTGATAAAAAATTGATGAAAATTGTGAAAACCTGTGTGTTACAATGCTACATGTTTGACGCGCTTGTGGAATACTTCACACGCCAGCACTGTATGTCGACGATACCAAACAGTCCCTACCTTCTGCATAAATGCACCTGGACAGCGGCGCGGGACTGTGAGCATGCATGTGTCCCAGCAGGCCCGAGATCTAGCGATGAGTCAGCGGCCGGTCAGATCAGGGTCCATCGGGAGCGCGGCAGGCGGCCGCGGCGCTTAACCAGATCCAGAGCCACGAGTTCAGCCATCGCGCACGGTCACGCGGCGCTCGCCGAGACGCCAGGACCGGACCCAGCGACTCCGCCAGGTCGTACCCAGGAACACTCGTCAGCGAATAAACCGCAGTTTTTCGGCTTTTCATCTGCTGCGCGGACGAGCTTGGCGGGTCATTGTCGGCGGTGTGGTGCTGCGCGAGGGAGCGCAAAGCTGTTTTGAGCGACACCCGGGGTGTGGGCGGACGGCAGAGCCGTTTTGTGACGTTCGTGACTCTTGAGCCGCGCTGCACAGCTGGCGTGATCACGTGATGCGCCGGGTAGCGGCTCATGACGTCACTTTACGGCGGGAGCTGCCCGCACGGGCAGAGCAGGTTGGCTGTCCTGCTCAGTGGAGGATGCACCAGAGATACGGCTCACCTCGCTGACAGGCGCCCCCAGGACTTAACCAAGCGGCCGTTGCATGGCGTACTTCACGGTAAGCGATCAGCTATGGACGCAGTAGAGCATCGACCCCATCAGCTGATTGCTGGTAATGGGCTGCTCGTGTGTAATGGCCTTAGGTTCGTGACACGAAACGATAATGAACATTCTTGTTCATTTATGCCACGGGCACACGTCGCGGACGGACGTGAAGTGACAGGAGGTGGCGTTCACAGGAGCTGCCCGTGACAAAGCGTCAACCATGGCGTCTGCTTTCCGAGCTGTGCTTCAGCTCCATCGATTGCAGATGCTTCCGCAACGTCCACCTGTTAAAACTGGGTGTCTTGCAATGCAGCGGATCTAAGCCATAAACGAAACAAACTGGGCCACATACGCGAACTTATGAAACAATGCAATAACCTCACCTACACGAAGGTTAGGAGTGTAAATGCAGTTATATTACTCGCGCCGAGATACGAAATGTAGGGCTCCTTTGATGCGAACCCTGAACATTACCAATCACCAGACATCAAAGGAAGAAAGGAGGAGATACCAGCCGGCGATAGAGGCAAATCAATAAGACCACCCGAAAGTGAGCAAATAAACACGACACGCCACGCCGGGCGGCGCCTTTGATCCCTTCTTTAATCCTGCCGCCGCACGACCCACGCGGCGGCGACACGCCAGCCAACCGAGACGGGCGCAGCGGCGGGCCCCGCGCCGGGAGTCCACGGCCGATCAGGGGGGGGGGGGGGGGGCTCACCAGCCGGCGCGCCGTCACCAGCCCCCGCGCGGCGGCCGCCGGGTCGGGGCTGTGACGTCATGCATGCCGCGGCCGGCTGGGCCGGTTCCCCCCTCACCGCCGACCGGAACACGGCGTGCTCTGACAGGGCCCCGGCACGGAACGTGGCGTGCTCCGACGGAGCCCCGGCAAGGGACACGGCGTGCTCCGACGAGGCCCAGGCACGGAACGCGGCGTGCTCCGACGAGACCCCGACACGGAACGTCGTGAGCTCGTCCGACCCAGCGTAATGTGACGGTGGCGTGCCGCCGTCTTCAACTGAGCCACGCTTCGACAGAACGTGTACGAACGGGCCACGTGTTTGCGGCTGTCCGAGTGTTTCTGCGTCACCGTACGCGTCTACAGGCGCGGCTGGATGTTGTAGGTGCATCAACCGTAAAAGGGAAAATATGTGTACATCATGCAATGTTGTTCCATGTGCGCCGATTATTCCCGGGCGCACGTGGCGGTGTGTCCGCATACCGTCTGCGACTTTTCGTAAGGGTTAACATCAGGGCTCTATCCGTCTTGGGCAGAACCGAACAAGTATGGTAAATATGCCTGTGTGAACAAATCTATACAGCAATGTGCGGGCTCCATGGGTGTCACTTCTTAGATCGGTTAGGAGGCCAAGCCAAAAGAGTTGACCTAACCTGCTCCCCCCAAAAAATTATGATCCATTCCCAGATTTCGGTCATTATAATTTGTGTCACCGATGCAAAAAAAGTGTTTGGTCAGCTTCAGCACTCCCTTTCATGTTGCGGGATGGCGTCCCATTCAAAGCTGTGATTGTGATCATGACATATGATGATATTGCTAGCGAAGTGTTTAGGTACGTAGTGCACGAGCAGTTCAAACACCTGCTACATCTCATCGGCCCAGTATCTCTTTTTTGCTCATGGGCGCTGAGGGGTCTCGGAACAGCATTGAGAAGGCTAAGTCATGTTTGGGGGGGGGGGCTCAGGTCCCCCGAAAAAGCACACAATGTGACACCGGTGCCAGGCTCTACATTTTTTATCCGCGTTTCCAGTATTGTGTACGCTGGGCCATCATCAAATCGTGGAGCGCGATACATAAATCATGTCCAGGCGCGTCAAAGCGAATAAGAGCCAAAAAGTCAAAATGGCAAGCGTCTGAATATGACGCAGCAATTTAGGCTTCACTATGGACTTAAAGACACACCACGAATGGCGACAAAAGAGTGCGGATTCCAGTGAGTTACAAGTTTTGGGCAGAATATATTTTTTGCATTTTAACCACATCAGATATCATCAAAACAGGAAGTGACATTCAAGACATGTGGTTAAGACCACGGATGCCACAAATATTTTGAGGGTTGACGTGAGACAACAGCGCACTGGAACAAATGGCGTACCCCATAAGCGGTTTGCTTCGTAGAATTGTTGTCTGCGCAATACCTGCCATGACGTGCGGTGCAAGTCGAGCCGCTATACTGCAATGTACGATTATGCTGCTTCTAAGCCCGCCGCACCACTTAGCCGAGCCCTGTTCGACATCGTCACCACTTGGTCAAGCTGCCACCAGCTATGTTGTCCTCAATCACGTCTGGTGAAAAGCACCATACTGAAGTTCCCCCCCCCCCTCCCACCTCCACCTTCTTACGCATCCGTGTGACCTGGCAGGTACGTCATTTACGCAGCTTCCTACACGCCTGACGCCAGCCACTGTACCCCCCCCCCCCCCCCCCCATCCAACTCCCTCACCGCACGCCAGATCCGACGAAGCTGGCACTCCCACTCCAACCAGTTTCCCACTCGACTCGCCTGATATAGCCCGCTTCTCCCGCATCCCACTGCCGGCATCGCAAACGTCTGACCTAGCCCGTTGCCCCACATCCGTGCGCACCAGCGTCTGGCAACGCCGGGCCGCCCGACCCCGTGCCTGGCCGCGGCGCCCAGATGCGAGAAGCGGCGGCGCCGCCGCGTCGCCCCGATTACGGACGCGGTTCAGCGCCCCCGCGTAATCCGTCTTTCCGCATGCATGGCCCGGCGTAGCCGCGTGCAGCAGCTCCGACGAAGAGGCGTCGGGCCCGACCAACCAGCTCGTGACTGGCAACAAAAAAACGCCGCAAAGCCGCCGCCGACATGCAAGCCACGGCCGGCGGCGTCACAGGCCGCGCTGCACACGCCGCGTCCTGCCGTGCACTGCCGGCGTGCGACCACGTGACGCAGTGATCCAAGCACCTCCGCTGTGCAGATTTCGCGGCGCACGACCAGCTGACGCCGCCGTCAGTCGCCCGCGCCGGCGCCACCGCGCTAAATTGTGGGGTGTTGATGGTTGGCAGCGTGCCAGAGCGGCGCGCTTTGATCCGCGGCGCCGATGGGCCCCGCGCATGTTATTCGCCAGCGGGCCGCTTCAAAGCCGGCCGCGGCGCGATAAGACGGCCGGCTGGTGGCGCGCGCGGCGGCCGGTCGGCCGGCCGGCCCCGCGCCCGCCAGCCGGCCCGGTAATTTGAGCGAGCGAGGGGAGAGGTAGTATGTGGGCGAGTGGCCAGAGCCACCAGCCGGCGTCTGCGCCGCTCATGGAGGTGGAGAGTACGCGCCGAGGTGCGAGGTCTTAGACGACGCGCCATGATTACATGATATGGGACCGTGGTAAATATTTGATCGGGACGATTTCAGCGCGGCACTGAAGCGGCTAACACTGAGACTGGCTGGGTCCGTCTGCTCCCGAGTACAAAACCGGGGCAGCTTTGAGAAAATGCATACATTAAACACGCAGAACACCGCACTAGACTGTTACGATGAATGGAGCTTAAATCCAGCGCATAAACGGAACTGGACAGATAAAATCCAATAGCAATTTTGCGAAAAATTGACTCCACTACATCCCCACTACAGCAGCACGCTGCGCTTACCTGGCATGTGTTTATACCCTCCCAACATCTTCATTTTCCACCATTTCAGAATCGTGGCCATGCTGCGTCGGTCTGGTTGGGCTCACATTTCCCAGACGGCCGCACAGTGCCCGCACGCGCGCGCCACACACCTCCTCGCCTCTCGCTACTCTGCGCCGCTTCGCACGCCTCTCCCACTCTGTACCACTCGCGGTATCTCCCGCGCGGATGTGCCCACCACCACCGCTCGCGCGCGCGTGCTCACTGCGCGCGCTGCTGCCGCGGGTCTGCGCCGGCCGGGCCGGCCGCCGCTGCCGCCGCCGCCGCCGGCCGCCGGCGGCGGTGCGCGCGTCTGGGGCCGGCTCGCCTGCGCCTTTCACCGCGCGCCCGGGGACCACTGCCGCCCGGCCGGGCCCGGCCTCGTGGGGAAGGTCGAGGGACGCGCTGGAACGAAGGCGTAGCGGCTCTGCAGGGTTAGGATGTGGTTTGTAGGGAGAAGAGATTGCATGCGACTGATAAGACCGAGTGGCATAGCACTCATGTGACGTCGCATGGAGCCTTGTTTTCATCTCGTCCTCGACGCTACGTAAATCGTATGTCGACTTGGAGAACTTTTCGGGCGCGCTGGTTCACCCTGAAATACGTAAAAGGCATTTATTAACGCTCTATGTAGTGCAGGAATGACAACGGTGGTATGAACTGAGATGGCCACAGGATTCCGTAACGGAATGTCGTAAGTTAATAACACGCATTACTCGTCTCAAATCCACACAAGACAGCTTTTAGCATCGGCGTCAGGCGCCGATGATTGTATAGTAAAAAATCCCAGTACAACGAAGCCTTTTTCGTCGAGAGATTTTGAAAACATGTCCAAGTAAAAGCAAGCATGTTCAGCTACATGAATGCTTTTACTCAAACGGAATGTTTCACGTTGGAAGATGTTGAAGCAAGCATCAGATATCAGAAAACAATCTCAGTTTTAACTATTGATATGCTCTTTAAGTGGAAAAGACTGCATAGACAGCGCAATTGCTCTGCTTAATAAACATGCTCCTGAATGTGCCATGGTTTGATTACGTCATCTACCTTGCACAACATTGATTGAGAGCCAATTGACGGCCGTTATACCTGGAAGTCGTGCCCACGAACGCTATGTATGAACGCCTCGACACTTAAATTTTCTTGGCCTTGGTCACCACATGGTTTATGCAATGGTAGGATTTTCATAATGTTATTATGACGTCGTGAATGCTAAGGTGACTTTGAAATGCCCTCACCGACATACCTTTCCCTATTTTGGCGGGGGTGTAGCTCAGCAACGAGAGGAGCTTAGATCTTAGGAAGGGCGGAAGTGTGAACAGCAATAAAAGGTCTTCAAGGTGGCTATTTCACTTAAAAACTACACATAAATGTAAAACACTTCCTTTAACGAACATCTGAAGACATGGACAAACCCAAGGTAAAAGGCAAAGACAGTCCGTGTTTGGACCTCTGGAAACCTTGGGATCTTTGCGCCTACAGTATCTGAGTCCCATCCTCCGTATACCCAAAAGCCCTGCAGATGCCTCACAAATTTCCAAATTCCACGTGATATTGTGGCACGCTGCTCAAAGAGAGTGTTCCACATTTATACGGGGTTTTGAACTGAAATAGCCATCCTGACAAATCTTTAGTGTTGTTCACAATCCTGCTTTCTTAAAACCTACACCCCTCTAGTATCTGAGCTACACACCCGCGAAAATTGAGAGAGGTACATCGGAGAGAGTTTTTCAATGTCACCTTTGCATTCATAACGTCACAATAACGCCATTCAGGTCCTGCAATTCCATAATCGATGTGGTGATCAAGGCCAATAATAATGTAATTGCTGATGCTTTCATACCTGGCGTTCGTGGGCGTCATTTACAGTTAAAAGGCCGTCAATTGGCTCTCAATGTTGTGCAAGATGCGATGACATAACAAACTATGACACAGTGAGGATCATATTTACTGAACAGAGAATTGTGCTGCCTCGATAAGTCTTTTCCACTTAAAAAGTATGCCAATAGTTATAAGTGAACATGTTTCACAATATCTGACGCTTGCTTCAATATCTTCAAATGTGAAACATTTCCTTTGAGTCACCTATTACACTCTCATAATTGGCCATGATGAGCTCTGTACGTTAAGGTAAGGTTAACGACTTTGAACTCTAAGAAGCTCTAGGAGCTCTAGGGTCCGTACCTCCGTGTTGCGAGCTGAGTGTGTTCTGTTAAAAAGTTTTTACCGAAAGGGTAACATATTTTGGTTTTAGCGCCTCGCAAGTGTTCATTATATCTCAAACGAAAAGGATGCATGGACTCGCCAACATGGGCCATGTCCCCTTGTTTTTTCACACAGCTTACATTTTTATTTCGTAAACCACGCTTTTTGGGGCATGTAAACTGCTTGAAACCTAGAATTGCTTAAATAAAGCCAGGTGTCCATCGGACACTTAGGTTTCGAGACAGACGGTTTCACCAGATGCTTGTTTAGCTTACTGTCGTTATTTCAAGACATACGTACGCGCTGTTTTGATTGATTTTCTAAAGCAACTGCTCATCTCACAAGGTAGTGTTAAGGATCCGTCGTCCACCAGTCTGTTCTCGTTTCCTACCACACATCTCCCCACGTGCTCTAGATTTGTTTGCCTCTTCCATTATTCCACCTAAAAGACGGTGGCGCTATCCGTTACTCAACAGCGAAGTCCATATTTTGTTTATGCTCTTTCTTTCTTTTCCGCTATTTGATGAGCTGCTTAGAGCCTTATGGAACATGTGACAAATTGTATTGTACTTAGCGGAAGTTGGATGCGCAGATTTGCAGTGCAGAATTAAACCAGAGTTGGTGGGCTTGATAAAGAGTTCCGTGTCTGATGTTGTACGGTTGTTTCTCCTTTGTATCGTCACTAATGTATCCAAATATGGTGCGCCTTTCCGTCCCCCGTATTCTACATCGCAAGGACTAAATTGGGATGCTGTTTTTCATGAGCTATGAAAGTTTTTCAAGGACACGCAGTCCGTGCGCCCATGCTCTGGTATGATCACAAATGTATGTATCTAAGAAAAGCAACCAAGTAATGCAAGTATTGCAAGTGGAGTTGCACATACATTGTATCGTAGTGATAGCCGGCAATTGATCCTAGTTTAATCCCCTGGATGTTGGGACTTGTAAAAGCTGTGGCTTGCTGCTTCAAAACACAAACAAAAAAAGAGAAAAAATTGTGCGGGATCGGCTGGCAATTTTGAATTTGCTGCTGATGTACGTTTCGAAAAAGGCATGTAACCGAAATAGCAATCTCTCCTTTCTCCTGCTTATTCCACGAAAAATGATGTTAACAGCGCTGTCTTTGGTAATTTTTGTGTTGTATCTCTCACATACCCCGGTCGTCAGCTCTGTTATAAACACGGCATTGATATTCCTTGTCTGTCCTCAATTTTACGTTGATTTGGTAACGTCCCAGCTCCATATGTCGAGTAGACAAAAATGGCACAGCAGATTTTGAGCTGAAATAACTATTTTGAAGATGGTTCTGTGCAGTTCACAGCCTACATTTCAGTTACATTTCAGTTCACAGCCTTCTTCAGACCTACAGCTCTCTAGTTTTTTTAACTGCCGCCCATGAAGCTGTATATACCACTTCATGATATTATTCTGAGGCCATTCAGGCATGCCAGGCGCCATAGCAACGTCATTCAAATCCTGCCACACCAAAAGCCAGGCGGCGTTTAAGACGAGGAAGAATATTGCCGTCCAGCCGTTCAGATCTGGTGTCCGTGAGCGCGATTTTTTATAAATATAATGGACGTCAATGCGCTCTCTAACAATATTGAGCAGGCCATGCAAGCTTTAATTACCTAGCACGTTTTGTGTTACATAATGTGCGAAGCTGGAATGGTTTCTTCGTTTACTGGATATAACAGAAACAATATTTCTCATTAAACAACCTGAAAATATCGTGAAAACCAAATAGTTGAATACGGGCAAACATCTTAAGCTTGCGGATAAATATGCAAGAAGACAACGAGATAGGACCAAAACATGAACACATAACGATATTTGGCTCAACGAACACGTTCAGCCCGTGCTACCATCTCTCGACGAGTTTGAAGTAAAACAAGTAAGTAGTGATTTTGCGCGGCTAGTTCGGCAGTACCTCAACGTCATAAAAATATTCCGTGACGCAGTCAAACAATGACGCATTGCGAAACATATTCACTAAAAAGAGAAATAACGTTAGTCGGGGCAGTCTTTTTCACTAAAAAGGTCACTATTAGTCATAAGCGAGCTTGTTTCATCATATTTGATGCTTGCTTCAAAATCCGCAAATGTGGAACATTCCCGTTAAGCAGTATAATTAGGGTGAGAATTGGCAGTTGGCAGTTTGCAGTACGTTTTATTTATCGGTTGCACAGCTTTTCCAGCGTCTATGTACTATATTAGCCCCATGGTATCTGGCTCGTGCCGATAATGATCGAACTAGGCGGAAATGTCTCTGACCTAAGAAAACTCGATCTGAATGGTCTCGAATGCCACGTGCAGCTACATTGTATAGATGTCGCTACAGTTCAACGTCATTTCCAGAAAAAGTCTTGATATAGGCAGCTTCTTAAGGTTTTGGTTTTATCTTTTGGTGCGGACGTTTCCCAATGACCAGTCGGGTTATACCGATGCTACTGATGTGCCGTGCCTTGACCAACCGCCGTCTTCTGAATTCTGCATGCTTTTTAGATTCGTGGAAGAATGGACTGACTAGTGGACCGTGAACCTTGGGTGTTCATGATTTGTTTTATTACACCTGTATGATTTAATTTATTACACCTGTACAAGCTGTGGACACACCCGCGTCAATGGTGTTTGCAGATTAAAACGTTCCGTGTATCCCTGCAAACCTATATCATGTTTAAGGCGAGGTTTTGTATTTTGCAAGGCTTAAAATTGCAAAGTAATTCATATCCTGTTAACTGTGAATGATAAAAATGCTGTCAGCTCTAGCGCTCATAATCATAACAACTGACGGAAGATGGCGCTGCTTATTATCAAAGGCCAAAATGAACATGCTGCACCTGTCCGTCAAAATGAGCCCGCTAAACCTGTTATGAGTAGGTTTGGTCCTGAAAGCTGCTGTGACCGCTCTGAAGTTGGTGTGGCCGCCGCCACACGTGTCCCACCGCAATATCTGCCCATGGTAAGCTTAGTGGGTATTCCACGCGACTTTTTAACGATTTATCTTTTCTAGAATCAGGCGGCGCACG